CCAGGAAGGATCTCTGCGCCACACGGCCGGTGTCTTTGACAGGGGAGGATCTAGAAAAATATTTATGGGGTGGCGAGAGGGGGGCAGGAATTTTTTAGGGGTGGCAACATATGGCATTTGTTTACACTGAATTTAATCAGTTATCACAGTTTGGTGAGAATAGTATGTACAGTACTAGTGTTTCATGTGAAACAGTTCATATTAAAAATACATTGTACAATGAGATCTCACTTAATAGGAGATAGAATGATAACACTACTTCTAGAGGGGCCTTATGACAGGAAAGGTATTAAGGTAAGACAAAGGTACTGAGTCGCAGATGTGTGAGATTGACTGTCAGAGAGGCAGCTTTGCAGCATTTGCACAAGAAGAAACTATAGAAAGAAAAAGTTACCTATCAGAGATCTATGGACTGAGCTGTACTAAAGTGAGCAGAACTACACAGTAGAAATAAATGGGTCAAGGCACCCGAACAAGGTACTGGACATCTATGGATTGTTTACTCTGAACACACATTTACCCCATTTGTTCCTCAGTAACTTGACATACAGCAGTTAAGGCAACATGAAAGGGACATTTCATGCATGTAAATATGCTGTAGATAGAGCTGTATATGGAGGACCAACTCTGCCATATTTAAAAATAAATACAGAAATAAATAAATGCTTAATAAATAAATAAGCCTACAATTAATTGCCACCAAAAATACAATCAACAAATGAATGTAATTAGAAATTATATTATAATGGCAGCCAGAAATGTTAAAAGGGCAGGCAGAAAGAAATAGCGGCGAAGAAATAACTAGGGTAAAAAAATACAAAGGAAGAATAAAACAGACAAAAATATGATAACATGCACATAAGTAAATACTTAAAAATATAAGTAATTAAAAAATGAAGTTGAAGATAATAAGTGACAAAAAAATAAATAAGGTAAATATTAAAAAGGCAAAGAAATAAAGAAGCCAATTAAAAAAGTTATATACCTTTATGACTAGCTGTATAATTTAATTTGTTGTTTGTATTTTTGGTGGCAATTAATTGTATGCTTATTTATTTATTGAGCATTTATTTATTTCTGTATTTATTTTTAAATATGGCAGAGTTGGTAATTATTATTATCAATTAAGTTGATAATTGGTCCTCCATACTGCTGTATCAACAAATCAACAAAAAGGCGGGTTCTGTATGTTTCATCAAAATCTCCACAAATCTGAAAAGAAGCAACATAAAAATACATTTTGCTTGTGAGTAGGTTCATACGGGTCATTTCTGTATAGCTTCATACTATATATACAAAAAAAAAAACAACAACACTTCTTAATATCAAGCAGGATTCACACCAGTATCACATTTTGAACTTTTAACACTTTTGTTTTTTTTAAAGGAAATATCAGATTTTCTCAGGTACCAAAACAAAATGTAACAGCTCTGTAAAGGCTCAGCAGAGAGCATAACATAAAGTTAACATGACTATACTATAACAGCTGAATGCAGTGATTTCCATGTTGCTCAGCAAAACGCTTCACAACTTTATTTAGATCCAATACCTTTGTGCGTTTTGATTTGAGTACAACCAAACTTGATCGTCTCTTTTCTGTCAGAGTTGACCACAAGTATGTCTTTCTGAACCTGAAACGTCAGGCCTAACTAACATCATAGATAGAGAAATAATGTTCTGCAACCTGATTTTTCTCATCTCAAAATCAGCATTGCAGCTATGCTAGCAACATTGTGCTTTCATTATGATTTCATTTCTCTATAGATCAGTTTTTACCTGTTTCATCCCGTGTCTCCTCTCCCCATCACCCCTGGCTCCCTCGCTTTGCCCCATTCGGTTTTCAAAACTAATCACAGTCGCTCTCGCGTCATCTCGTGCTGCATTCACTGCAGTCCGACATTGGAAATTAGCGGTCGTAATTCTCAAATGATCCATAATTTGTAAGCCTCGCCACCCCTACAGCCAACTGGGGTGGCAGCTGGGGTGGCAAGGCTGTCATTTAGGGTGGCATTTGCCACCCTATGCCACCCCAGTAGATCCGCCTATGGTCTTTGAAGGGGAAGTTTCTAGGAGTCCCATGTAGCTTTCCTAGGAAATGTTTTTTAGCCTTATTGTAAGCTACTAAGAATGATTTTAAACAGACAAGCTGAAATAATATTCTGTTCTAAATGTTTACACTTCATTACAATATTTTAAAGATAATAGTTTCCTCTTCTGTTTAGAAAACACTCAGATACGTAGTAGCATGCTCATTTATTCTTTTAAAGGTAAGAAAATAGGTTAGTCTAAAACATAAATGTCTTTGTGTTTTATGCTCTGGACTAATCTATTGTTAAGTTGTTCTGCTGGTCTGTATTAGATCTACAGTTTCTCCAAGAAGTCCTGCAAGAAAGCTGCATTGAAATTGCCCGAGAGAGAACTATGGGATGTGAAATGATGTTTAGACTCCTCACAACTCTTTGACAGGAAATATTTTTGCTTTTTAAATCAGACCATCCATGTTAAAAAAAAAAAAAAAGAACGCAGCATGGGTGGTACTAGATGGGGGCCAACAGGGCCCCAGTATCCCTGTTTAATTGTTCCTGACCCCTGTTATTGTCCCTTTTTTAGAAGACATGGTCCAAAACAAATTGTTTAAAAATGAATTATGATTTATGAACTGCTATATTTATTGAGGCAAAAGAGGGTTGTCAGGTCTTTACCTCTTTCTACAAAGTGATTACAGAAAACAGAAAGCTCTGAGTGAAAGAAAAATCCCAGTAAAAATTTACCAGTTAAGCCCCCCTGCTCTTGTCAGCATTGCTTCACTTAATTGAGAATTGTTCTCATTAGTTTTTGCTCCAACTCTATAACTTCCACATGATTTCAACCAGTTTTAGGTTTTTTTTAAGGAATTTCTGTCTCACCTTCATGATTATTTAGCTTAATATATATATATTTTTTGGATGCTTTAACCCTTAGTGGTCTGCAAACACCTACCTAACCTATTGAATAATCTGCTAAGGCTCAGCTGATGTTTGGACTCTGACTAGACCATTGCAAATCTTTGATAGGCCTGAAAAAGAGATGGAGGAGTATTACAATAAAGCCAACCATGAAAACTCAATTTCAGTTCAGTTTATTTATATAGCACCAATTCACAACACGTCATCTTAAGGCACTTTACAGTTCACCAGATCATACAGTCAAATTGATTCAAAGTTTTCAATCTAAGGAAAACCAGTTGATTGCATCGATTCATTGACTCGGATGCCATACCTCACACTAAGCATGCTTGTAGAGACAGTGGACAGGAAAAAGACCCTTTTAACAGGAAGAAACCTCCAGCAGAACCAGGCTCTGTGTGAGCGACCATCTGCTGAGGCTGACTGGGGACAGAAGCAGAGATACAAAAAGCAGCTGTAAAAGGCGGCCCGTCCAGGAAACACACAGCCAGGCAGGCGAGCTCCGAGCCAGCTCCCATGTCAGAGGATGAGGAGAGGACATCCAGCCAGTCACGGTCAGAGAAACGGGACTACACTGAAAAACAGGCCAATCAGCACAGCTTATATTTCTCTCCAGGGTGGAGTCACTGCCAAACAGGAACAGACCAGATGAAGCTACTATGAGAAAAAGCAGAGAGAGGCGAACGTTAGAGATCAAACTAGCAGATTCTGCAGAGTGGGAGAAATAGAGAAATACAGTAGAGATAGAATGAAGCAGAATGATGAAATGGGAGCCCCTATGTCCTCCAGCAGTCTAAGCCTATAGCAGCATAACTATAGAGATAGCTCAGGATAACCTGAGCCACTCTAACTATAAGCTTTATCAAAAAGGAAAGTTTTAAAAATAGCCTTAAAAGTAGACAAGGTGTCTGCCTCACTGGAGAGGGGCCTAATCTATGAGGGTTTAATTTGTTTGGTGACCCTCAATAACCCCCCCCCCCCCCCCCCCCCCCAAATAAAATAAAGATGTATACAGACCTTGTCAAATATAAACGTGATTCCGTTTAATTTAAGAGCGCATTTAACTGAAGCGCGTTTAACTCCGATATCCAGATTGAACAGCAGGGGGCGTAGCTATTCCATTTATTAGTCAAGTTTTAAACATCAAATGTTAAACAAAGGGGCGAAAGCAGATTGCTGTGGTTCTTCTGATGCTGTGTTTCAAAGGTTTCAGTTAAGACAGAGACTTAAAGCAGAATATAATGTGATCATTGAGGATTTGGCTTCAACCAACTCATTTCTGCCAAGGTTCCTTTAAGATCCAGCATCTTCACCAGGATCAGGAACGATGACGGGAAGTCGTAAAGTTGAACAGAAACAACAGGAAGAAAAGCGGAAACGCAACTGATTGACCTTTAAAATAAAGACTGGATCTGGGGTTTTGTTCCAGACTACTACTGTATATATAAGCTAAACTAAATGTATATAAACCAGCTCTACTCTAACCCTATATAAAATTCTCCCTTTCTCTAAATTAGTAAAAACAAAGTTTTTTCTTGTTCAAAAATATTTGACCTGTTAGGGACTTAAAAAAAATTAAAGACATTTCCATTGATTAGCTATTGTGAAAACTAAAGATATTCTCATTAAATATTTGTTAGATGTTTTAAAATGAAGAAAATCCACCATGAAAAAAAAACTTAGAATTTATTTTTGGCGGGAAACAGTTACTTTTATGTTTTATGTAGAATAATAGTTATGTGTGAATCTGTGGCCTTAATAATAATAATAATAATAATAATAATAATAATAATAATAATAATAATAATAATAATAATATGTACCTTCAAGCGAGATTGAATTTTATTTTTCTGTTTTTTTCGATTTCTTGTTTTTTTTTTTGTTTTTTGTTTTCTTTCATTGAAGAAAATCTGTTCCCCTAATTAAAAAAACAACAACAACACAAATGATTTGTTTGATTAGACTTTAAAACAGCTACAGCTGTTAATTCTTTTGTTTCTTTATTCTTGTGAATTGGGTGAAATGTTTCCTGCCGGATGCGCAGTCCTGCGCGCTGCGTGCGGCTTGACGCAGCGGCTGATCCGAGCCGTCGCTCCAGCAGCTCAGGCAGGGAGGGGACCGATCCAGGACAGTAACCGGGCTGTACCGGGGATAACCTGCAGCCTCCATCCCTCAAATGCTCTGATGGAGTAAACCGGCCGACGATGCGCTTTTATTTACCCCCTCCGCATCGATCATAGAAACGGTAAGACGCGCAAACAGATGTCAGAAGATGTAGCGGCGTGTTTGAACGTCCAGCTGTTTTTATGGGTGGGGGTGAAAGGGGTGGGGGGTGGGGGGGGGGGTGTTGATGGGTAATATGCACCTTAATGTTGGAATAAATGCAAAGCTGCCACTTACATAAATGTCATCCGCACAGATGAATCCAGAGGTGTGACATCTTCTGGTGTAATCTTATTAATTAGGCCTGCATCATTTACAGCATGATTGGCACCTCCCACCATGATGTGATGTTCGGCTACCTTCCACGGAAATGCACGATGTTTGTTCCGTTTATTTCCCACAAGACAGCTTTTTTTAATTTTCTTTCTCGTCTCTCCGTAGAATAAAGGCCTGCAGAATATCTTTACAGATGGATGCTGGGAACGTTTGAAATGGGTTCAAATAGGCTTGAACAGCCGGTAATTACAGACACCACTGTTCCCTTCCATCCACATGAGCGCATATTTCTACCCTAACCTGCAGGCCTGACAGTTATTCTGTCTTTGCGTAAATGATTTCATCATGCGCATTTATGAGTATGGAAGCTGAGATACAGAAGGTTCTGACAACCAAGATAGTTCATCAGTCCAGAGTAATTCAGAGAGAGAGAGAGACAGCCCTGCTGCAACAGCAGTGGTTGTTCTACCTCTGATGGTTTTGGGGGAAAAGGGGAAATGTTTGGTTCCTTTTGGTATCACAGAATTGGATGGATCCACATTAGGGAGGAGAGGTAGGTGGTATAAGAAGCATTGCTTCATCAGTTCATTCAGTAGTCTACCATCAACCTGCAGCTGGATCTATAAATAAACCAAAAGTTATTCCAGGGAAGTTATAGGGAAATCAAATCAGTTTCCATGGTCTATTTCTGCTTATCCACAATGGGGATGGAGGTGCATATATCCAGTGGCCATGAGTGAGAAAGGTTGCCAGTAAATCACACAACAACACATGATAAACCAATACGGACAAACATATCACTTCTAAGTGCAATTTGAGCAACAATCAGGGGCAGACCTAGGGAAGGGACATGGGGGCCATAGTCATCCCTAATCAGTAAGCATTAAGATCAGCCGAATGCAGCTTACTTAATTTATCATAGGAATATTTTCTTGTTCTTCAGATGCCACAGTTCAGATCAATATTCCAGCCAACTATGAACCAACATCTGTGCTCTTAAAAGATTTTTGACCACTTATGCTTACACGGACACACAGTATGGAGACCAGGAATGATAAGCTGTACCCTGGTATGATTATATAATATGTGAAATATAACATACACTATGCATTCATTTGGAACAAGGTGGTAAATGTGCACACTTATTTTCTCAAGAACCCCAGGAAATACTCATAACACCTACTTCTAATACATATACAGACCTCCTCTGGAATATGAGGACAGGTTGTGTATAAGTTATATGTATACATTGTGAAAGGAAAAATTGGAAAGCCTGTTAATTGTAGGTAGTGTCTTGAAAAAAGACTTTGTATGGATCTCATCCATTTACTCTGTGTATAATTTAAGCACATGGGGATTTAAATGAGAATGATCCATTCTGGTCAGTGGGCCGAGCCACAGAGCTAAGCTCAGTCAATTGGGCGGTCGTTGGGTAGAAAACTTCGTGATGTCACGCCTCTAAAACACATCATGAAAATCTGCTCTGTTTTTAATTATTTATTTGGAAAATATGGATGTTGTTCATCTTGGTTTTTATGTTGGTTCAGTGTGATCAGTATAGATTGACCCGAAACTGTTTTTGTGTTTGTCCCTGGGACCTCTCTGTGCAAATCAGTCCCTGCCAGGCCACCCCAATTAACATTTTCTAGAGCTGCCACTGGTAGAAATCATTGGATTGTGGGACAGTGGTGGTTCTAGAACAGATTTACCAGAGTGGCTCTGCACAGCAGTTTTTTTTTTTCCCCATGGGGACTCTGAGCAAATATACAAAACAAAAAGCCAGGGCAACAGTTTGGGTAATTTTTAAATCATAAATAAAATAAAACAGTACAAATAATAATGAATGAAATTGGTTCAAGGGACCTATTGGTTTGTAGTTTCTCTTCCAGTGACTGCATATCATAATAAATGTATTATCAATTTATTTAGTATTATGTCTTCTGCACATGGCGCCATAACAAGGGCCAGGACCAATTAAACAGGGGGAGTGGCCCCTGTTGGCCCCTGTCTAGAACCACCCATGCTGCAGGATGCAGCTGGGGTACTAGGAAAACACATTCCTGGATGTTCTGACTGCAAGGTAGCAGTGTTGATGCACTATGCTTCAGTAAAAAAAAACAGTTTTACCAGGACTGACAGAATACAAGTCACTGATAAAGCAAATTAGATCAGCTTAGTCCTCAGCAAAACTATCAAAATGTCCTCATAACAGTTACTATAACAGTCCATTCAAAAATACAGAAGAAAAACCCACAAATCACTGTCCTAGAAACACTCTCTATGGTTCTGAGAGATTCAAATGCCACAAGTTACAAAAAAATCTATCCTTACAGTAAATTCTGATTCTGCCTGTGGTATCCTGCCCAGGGAACATGGCCAGAAAAACTCCAAAGCTCCTGAAGAAGCTGTGACCAGATGCCTGAGCCCTCATAGCCGGCTCTTACGATTGAATAATTGGTTTCAAGTTACAATGAAAAGCTGATATAAACAAGTAAAAATATTGTCAAGTAAGTGAATTTTCCCTTTAATTGAGCAGTTAGATAATCTGGTCTTCCAAAGGAATTAGGATGTTTTTACTTAAAGTAAGATCATTAAAAATATGTAATTGAAAAATGGTAATGGAGATGTTTTTTGTTTTCTTATTTTAAACATTGATCATTTATTCCATCTATAGTTTATCTTATGTTATTCTCTCTGATTCGTTCAATGTATATTTTGGGAATATTTAACTTTAAAAAAGGAAAAAAAAAGGAATCAATCACAGTTTTTAACAAAGTTTTTTTCTAACTTCCTGTAGCAGCTGAGCTACAGTGCTAAAGCAATCAGTGCTTTATTCGAAGCAGTGTTCATTTTTTCCTCCTCTGTAAGGGCTGATGACACTTTGCCTCCATCTTCTGTTCAAATAGCAAAAAGCAAATAGCTTACACTGCAAAGACTGAAATATATATCAGTCCATTGTTGTTGAAACAAGTGCATTTTCCCTCAATTTGAACAGGAAAGTAAGACAATTTCAAATGGGATAAGATGATTTATGCTTAAAATAAGACAAAGTAACTCCATTATCTAATTTGAAATGCATAATTCAAATCTGTTCAAAAATAATTAATCCCAAACAGAAATTAAATAACTAAAATCTGTTTATCTTATTAAATGGAAAAAAAATAATTTAAATGGCAGATTTTCTAATGTACCTGCACAAATTAAATGTAAATGCACTTATTTGAACAATTTCCTTCTTTTGTTAGATCATTTTATGTATTTTGCACTTTTTTACTAGTTTTTGTATAATTTGTAAGTGACGTGTATAAATAAGTTATATAAGATATAGAAATAAATTAAATGCTTACTTAAGTCCTTCTTTTTCTTTTAAAGGTATTTTTGCATCATTGTTAATTAGCTTTATGTTTATGGAAACAAGCAGCATCTTAATAACAGCTGTAATATTTTTTGTTTCTCTGTCATCATTTGCCTAAACTGAAAATAATATGGTTAGCATTGGTTAGCCTCTTGGAATAACAAGAATAAATTTTAATGCTTATCGTTGAAACAATGGAAGTTTTAAACTGCTCCTCTGCTGCCTAAAGTCAAAGGTTTTTTCACCAGAGTGCAGAGCACTATGCAATGTTGAAGGACTTTTACTTAGCTATATCACATTGTAGAATAGTTGATATGTCAAAAGTTGTCAAAAGTTGTTGTACTCTGGATGACTTAAACCACGAATCTTACTGTCCAATATACAAAACGTTGCTTTGGTGTTTCAGTGCATATAGGATATCAAGAGCAATGCTAATAGTATAACATCAGTCACTGCTTTCGCTCCTAATGCTTTCTGTTGTTTGAAAATAACTAACCTTCGTGTTTCTTCTTTCCAGGTTCATCTGGCACCCCAATAAACCTTGGAGCCAAGGGGTCAGAGGTCTCTCACTAAAAACCCACATCTGTCCCTCTCATCCCTGCTCCCCACTTCACACTGATTCCCAATCCCTAGTCCTCACACTCTTACCCTTCTTCAATCCATTCCACCTACTTTTCCTCCCAAATTTCCCTCACACCCTGAGAGAATAGCCCCCCCAGCAACCAAGAGATACTGGCTGCTGCACTTTTCATGAGGAGAAAGAAGGTCTTCAGCAGACCATCCTAGACATCCCCTGTGACATCTCCTCTCACTCCCAGGCGTCACGATGATGTGCGAGGTGATGCCCACCATCTCAGAGGACGGGCGCGGAGGAGGAGGAGGCTCGTCCTCTCCAGCAGGTGGTGCAGGCGGGATGGGCAGTGGGATAGGAGGCTACGGAAGTCGAGATCTCCGCAGTGGAGGCAGCGGCGGTGGAGGAGGAGGGAGTGACGAAGGGGGAAGTACGGGCAACTTGGAGTCGTTGATGGTGAACATGCTGACGGAGAGGGAAAGGCTGCTGGAGAGCCTGAGGGAGACGCAGGATAGTCTGGGGACGGCGCACCTTCGTCTACGAGAGCTTGGTCACGAGAAGGAGTCCCTGCAGAGGCAGCTGTCCATCGCCCTGCCACAGGTAGCTCACACTAATATTCCACATCCTTACAGGAAATTTTTATGTCTGAGGAGCAACACCTGCTGATAGTGTTTATGATAAACATCTGTGAAGAAATAAGTCTCTATGGAGAAATAATGACCCAGTCTTCTTTGCAGACAATTTTAGATTAAGATACACTGAAGGGTTTTTGAACACAAACGGTCTGGAATCAGTTGGATAGGATTTTAGAGTTCGAGTGGTCGCTACCCCTAAACCCTCTTTTTACTTTTTTTTTTGTTTGTTTTTTAATCCTGGAGTCATTTAATGGTGGACCTGGTATTCTTTTGATTACTATCCTTCAGCAAAACACGTGTGCATGGCGTGTCTCTGGTAGAAAGAAGAGCTCATTATCAGTCATACAGGTCCTGAACTACACCACCATGTTTTATTCTTTGCATGACACTACCTTTTAAACTGCCATATTTATTTCCCCAATGGCCAGTGAATTTGAATTCAGCCTTCCAAAAGATGTAAATTACATTTATTTTAGGGTTTAAAGCAGGAGATTTAGTTGTTTTACACACATAGGTTGGTTTGGATAACTTGATACTCTGATAAGTAAAATTATAAATGAAAAACAATTGTGTCATAAAAATACAAGAAGAAAAATACTGAAAGGATGCAAACATTTATTCACAGAGCTCTATCTTTGTTGAGCAAAAAAAAAAAGCTTACAGAAAGAATGAAGAACTATTGATCAAGAGCAATTTAAATGATTACTGGCATGTAAAAAGTAAGGAAATGATTTAAAACCTTTACACAGTATCTTAGATGTTTTCTTATTCTATATAGACTCAGATGAACTCTTAACAAAGCTTGTTTTCTGGTTGCTAATAAGCTCATTTTGATACAAGAACTTAATTTTCTGCAATCAGTTAAACTACAGTCAGGCTAAGATTTAAAGTCAGGATTCAACTTTTTATTGATTTAACCAAAGCTTTTGAAGAAAAGTATTACCATCCATTTTTACAGAACCTACAAACCGAGGTGAAGAGAAATCTTCACCCTCATTGATTAGATGCTTGCAGTTTAAATGAGAAGTTTAACAAATATAGTAAAGATGTACAGAAGGACGACAGAAAACGTTAAACTTAAAAAACTAAAACCAAAATCTCAATCTGCCTCTAAAGCAGACAGTTAGTGTCCTTGTTTTTAAGGATTGATTTTGTGTTGAATTATTAATGCATCAATCTGTAATCAGGATGTTATTGTTGCAGCTGATTCAGGTGGTGCAGAGTCTGTCTGGTCCTCTTCTACTAAAACTATAACAGGATTTACCAATTAATCAGCCTTATCAGAAAGTTTATTAGCGAGAAAAGTCATTTAGCTTTTTTTTTTAAATATGTATTTTTATTGATAAGTCAGTGGTAGAAGCTACTTAAATACAGGACTTGAAGGTAAAAAGGTGTTATATGATATGTTAGAATTTCACCTTATAATTGTTTTAAAGATTTGCAACTTTGTAATATTCTTTCAGTTTAAATTGATAATGAAACAAATGTGTGATATTCAGTGATTGTGTTGAGGTCAGAAAAAGATTCTTGTTTGAGATCTAGTTAAAAGATTAATATTTTGACCTTTATTTGTGATAAATATAAGAAAAAAATACTTATGCACACACACACACATACACACACACACACACATATATATATTCAAATTTTTGACTCAATACCATTTTAAGCCACTATGCTCTGTATGTAATAGACAAACTAAATGAAATCATGAAAAGGAGTCTGAAATTATTATTATTTTTAAGTCTTAATGCCTACATTTAATTATTTTGTATTACCTTGTTGATATTTGTGAGAGGTTTAATTTGTATACAGTCAGATAATAAAAAACATTTTCCCCCCTAAATTCAACAAAAACTAGACTGAAACCTTTGCATTAAGACAATTTAAAAGTGAGTAAAACAAAAAATCTTCCATCTTTTTATCATCTGAACTAGAAAGGCTGCCTAAAACAACACTTAAGAATAGAGAAACAAAAATATACCTTTTAAGATCTTACTAAAAATGTAATAATTTATATTCATATATTTTCATTTTAAACATTTTTATTGCATATATTTTGTAAGTGTTCATACAAAAATAGATATTCATAATATAAACTTGAAATAACTACTTAATTGTTTAAAAAATATTGTCTTAAGTTACTCTAGAGCAGAGGGCAGACGGCATATATATATATATATATATATATATATATATATATGCCGTGATATATATATATATATACTGTGATTGAATAATTCTGTGCACTTTTCAGTTTCAGACTTTTTTGTAACAGTTGCAGCTGCTGAGAATTATTTTTGTTTCTTAACCGGTTTGGCTAGTGTCATTGTTATGTGTGCAAAGCATAGCCAAGGAAGGAACACTTAATTTAAATTTTGTAAGTTTTTTATCAAGCTTGCTAAATACTGTGCACAGCAAACAACCTCAAAATGTTGTTCTTATTGTTTATTGTATTTATTTATTGTATTTTAATTATTAATCAAAATATTTCTGTTGAAATTTTATCCTTGTGGTATCGAAAATGGTATCGAGTATCGAATATTTTCCTTAATATCGGTATCGAGTTGAAAAGTTTAGTATCGTGACAACCCTAATATATATATATATATATATATATATATATATATATATATATATATATATATATATATATATATATATATATATATATATATATATATATAAACACTCATCACTATCTACTAATTTTGTATATATTTAGTATATATATTTATATATATATATATATATATATATATATATATATGTAATTATTATTATTACTATTATTTTTCTTTAAAAACTGACCACTATAACTATTTAGAATTATTTTATGCAGAACTGAATGTTTATCTCAACCCTTGATAAAGAATTAAAACAGTGCATTTTGGAAATTCTTATTGCTCCTCCAGTGTTGCTTTTTGGTAGATAAAGAATTAAATTAAGCAAAAATAGCCAAATAAATAACATTAACTAATAACATTAAAAAAGTTGTATTTGTTTATTATCTAATTAAATAAAAACGATTACATGTTTGAAATTTAATCCCTCCCAAATGCCATTCAGAGAACTGCATTTACATTTAACCAGCTGCTGGTAGCCAGGAAAGATCGTGACAAATTAAAACCAAACTTACTATACTTTGATATATTATAATATACTATAACAAAGATTAAATAGATAGATAGATAGATAGATAGATAGATAGATAGATGATAGATAGATAGATAGATAGATAGATAGATAGATAGATAGATAGATAGATAGATAGATAGATAGATAGATAGATAGATAGATAGATAGATAGATAGATATTGCAAAAGGGAGAGTAAATCCGCACTTCTCACTTCTCATGTATACAAACATACACACCTTTACACATATAAACAAGATGGAGGCAAAATGCTCCACTTGCAAATATTATCCCACATTCCAGAGCTAATCAGGTTGTAACTCCACTTGGGGCAGAAGGACTCCATCTCTATTTTCAGGCAGGAGTCTGATGCCTCAGGCCGCGATGATTCCTCCTCGTTGTTTGCACCTTTTTGTTACCCCCCCAATCGCCCTCACCCCCACCCCTGTCGCCCCGCCTGAACGATCAAAATAACATGGTGCCAAGGTGCTGCAACACCGACTGACCCGACATGAAAGGGGGCCATACTGCCTCAACGAGTGCAGATCAATACACAGAAACACACGCACACACTCATCCAGATGGAGGAGAACATAGATGGGTGTAATACAAAGATGAGTTCATCGAGTTTGTCTGTGTGCAGAGTAAGCTGCCAAGACAGGAAACCAGGACAGAGTGATGGAGAGAGACTGCAAAGCCCAGAAAGATAATATAAATGATTGATAAGAAATAAAATCCAGCTCATTTGCAGACAGCCACATGTTTATAATAACACAACTTTAGATGTATATCTACAAACTGGGGGTGGGGGGTCATATGAGATGTATGGAGGCCGTATAACGTGTTTCTGACCAAAGAGATAGTGATGAGAAGAGAGGGATGTGTCTAGTATCTGTGGTCTATCTCACACCATCTTTCCCATGAATTAATCCCAGTGTTATGATATCCTTTGGGCCCAGAACATGCCATCTGCACACAGTGATTTCCTCCCTTCTTTTCAACTGCTTCTCTTCCTCTCATTCGTCTCCCGTCTCTCAGCCCAGCGAGGCCTGACATGGACTGTACACGCTGTACTTTTTAAAGGCTTTTTGGCTGGAAGAGAGTGTGCGTCTCCTGTTTGCTGAGCGTGGGGTAAAATGATCACGTTTAACACATGGAGCAAAGACATCATCAACATTATCATCGGCGACAGCAGCAGCGACGTGAACGCCTCAGTGCTCTTTAATAGCTCGTTTGCATAAGTGAAAACACGCATGATTTGGTGCACACGTGTTCAGATTGGGCTGTGTGTGTCATGAGTGTGTCACACCGCGGTGGCATGCGGCCAAAAAGAGGAATGTAGAAAGAAACAGACGAAAGGCTTGAAAATGTAACACTGATAAGATAGGCACTAAATTATTGTAGAAAAACAAATTGAATGAAGGAATTCTTAATTCCTATGGAGCAACTTTTCCCATAAATTAGAAAAGATCTCAAGAACATTTTTGTGTAATGTGTTTAGCATTTATCAAAGATGATTAGATGTAGTTATGCGGAGGCCTCAGGGACAGATATTTTACACCAGGGCTGGCTCAAGAATATACAGGGCCTTCAACAGAATTAGATTTTCGGGGGTCCCTCCTGCTGCTATAGATACATAGTCACATTGTATACCGATACCAAAAAGACCTAAATCCAGCTATTAAGATAAAATTTGGCTATAAACTCCAAGATTCTGTCCTAATAGTGTTTTGATCGTCATGTTTGGACCTATATAGAACTGACTGAATGAGCTGACATAAACAGACAAGGCGCCATCTATTGGTAGTACTGTCGAACTACCGGAAAGTCAGGTGGTGGCCATTGACGCAGTTGCTTTATTGGTCCCGACCGTTCTGTGGTGCATTGCTAACACCAGTGGCTCCATTAGCAAGGACATGTACTTGCGTGTCTTTAAATTTTGCAGCAATAACAGAATGCTTCCTGAGCTTTTGCTCCAGGTTTAATGAACTTCAACAGTCAGACTGTTTTTCCAAAACCACTCAAGTTTTATCAAATCAAACATCTTGCTTCTTTTGACACTTGATGTTGAGATTTTCCTTTTTTTCTCCAACTATGCTGGAATTCCACACTGGTTCACCTTAAATTTTTTCAGGTTGTTGTTCAATTGTATGCACGCACGGTGGAATAATCCCGGTCACATGATGAGGTTTTGGTAAATATACACAGAAAAGCTTTTATCACTAGCAAACTGAGTAAAAACAAACTTTAAAGGACAAAAATTAGAAATATTACACCAGCAGAACACAATGTAATTTCTCATAAAAAGGTTGTAGGCAAACAGAGTGAATTATTGGTGTATACATGGAAAGAATTGTGACTATGCACGACTAATTGGCTTAGCTTAAAATAAAATCATGGGTGAATGGTTGTTATGAGCTGTGAGGAGTAAAACCAAGCATGAAGATGTTAACATTTTCATTTTTAGCATCATATTGTACATTTGTAAAAACACAACTATCAGAGAGCATAGATGGTTATTTGAACTTTTCCAAAGTAAATTTCCAAATTCCTTCCCTGAATTAAAGATATTTTGAAGAGCTGAAAGGTCAGATGTCTCTGTTTGTGATAACTACAAAGTTATACTTAGCCTGAATAATCTGATCAAATGTATTTGATATACATTTTTTGATTATTAAAATAAAAACAGTTATTAGCATTATTAGAAGAAAAAGATAAATGCAAAAAAAAATGGATGGATGGATGGATGGATGGATGGATGGATGGATGGATGGATGGATGGATGGCCTAATTTCAGCCCTTCATTTGATCTTTTCATAGACTGTCAGTGGTCGTTACAGTTTGTTCAGTCTGAATGTGACCAGTTGTCGTTCAACACCAGCTGCATCTTCTAACCTTTCAGGAGTTCGCAGTGCTGACCAAGGAGCTGAACATGTGCCGGGAACAGTTGCTGGAGAGAGAAGAGGAGATAGCCGAGCTGAAGGCGGAGAGAAACAACACACGGGTCAGTGCTGCTCCGTGCCTCTTCATGTTCACACTGTTTGCTCTGCATGCTCCCATGACAAGCTGTAATCATAGGAGACAGATTTAGAGTGTGCAGACCTCGTGTTCTTCCAGCTGCTCCTTGAACATCTGGAATGCCTGGTGTCCCGCCACGAGCGAAGCCTGAGGATGACCGTGGTGAAAAGGCAGCCTGGAGTCTCCAGTGAGGTGGAAGTCCTGAAAGCCCTCAAGTCCTTGTTTGAGCACCACAAAGCGCTGGATGAAAAAGTGCGGGAGAGGCTACGAGTGGCGCTGGAGCGTGTGGCGGTCCTAGAGGAAGAGCTGCAGTCTTCTTCCCAAGAGGTGAATTTTTTACAGGACTTCCAGGTGTTTTCCCACAAGATTTTAAGAGTTCCAGTAGAAGTCATTAATTGTTTGCATCATTTCAGGTGGTGTCTTTAAGGGAACAAATAAAACGAAGGCAGCAAGGACTAGACAACGGCAAAGAGGTGAAGTACTGCTTCTGTGCAACCATTTCAAACCACCTAGCTTCCCTTTGGACATGCAGAAAGCATAGTTAACAAGACGGCTGCCTCTGTTGCCAGTGAAACATAAAATCACTAAACTGTGACATAATTCTTTCTCCAGTCTGCAGCCGGAGTGCCGATCAGGAGGCTCCTGATTGCCAGAAGCTGTTGCAGCTTTTGCAACAGTCTGCTTCATATTCCTAGATGGGGGGTTTTCAGAGCCATATGGCTTCCAGCCATCAGAGTCGTCCAGTGAGGAGGAAGTTATGCACTATCTTCTATTTTTATGAGCTTAGTTAGAAAGTTCAAGCTTTAATCAGTGAGAGTTGCCCAGTCTTTCCTTTGGGGTAACTGGACAAGATAGAAAACGAGTTAAAGATAGGTATACCCTAAATTTATTGTAATCAAAGCTCTAGGATTAGATAAGACTGAGTCTCCTCAGTCAGTTCAGCATAAATGGAGCTCAGGTCAAAAGTTTTAAACACCAGAGAAAACACTTCACTTTCCTCATTTGTATTAAATAAATAAGAGTTTCCTCCATCCATCCATTTAACTTTCCTGATCTTTGCTGCTTAAAACCTTCACAGTGACATTCCCCAGACTGTTTTTGGGAATTTGAAAGTGTTCCAAGGCCAGAAAGAGCAGATAATTATGTTATTTCTTGGCATTTAACTTAAAAGTGAACCGACAGGAAATGCTGTGAAAAAAGATGTGTACATGTAGCAAAGATCTCTGGGTTGAAAGAGACCTGGAAGGCTTCTGTACATGGATCGTGTGCTTGTATGCGCCGCTGCCTCGCCCCAGGAACAGGGATTTCTGTGTCATATTCTCTCCCTGTGGGATTTATCCAGCAGCTTCTCTCCTCTAAGCTCGCTACAGGTGACAAAGCTGCTCAGCTTATCTCTAACTCAGAACCCAAACAGAAGAAGCTAGTTTCTTGTATCTTAAATCAGGGTTGTTGTTGTTGTTTTTTTCACTATCTGTATCTCATTAGCATAGGTCTGGGTAGGAGCACACTTGGATCTGTTAATTAAAAGCCTCACCTTTCATCTCAGATGCTTCTTTATTTCCACAGACCAGATCAACAGCCTCGGCACTGCAGACCTGTTTATCTTTCCATCACTTGTTATCGACTAACAATGATACTGATGCTGGTTCCTCTAAAATTGGTGGGAAATTTCCCCCAAACCTTGATGGAAACTTCCACCCTTTAATATAATGAATATGTTAATCGTTCCATCCCTAGAGATCCGTTTCAACAGAGCTGGAGCTTTCATTCAGTGATGATTCCCTCTAAACTCTCATATTCATCCCATTATCTTATTTTCCATTAAATATTTTTCCAAATTATGCTAATTAGAAACTGTGATTTTCTTTGTAAATAAAGTTATGAGCAAAATTTTTTCAATAAAACAATAAATACAGCAGAGAAAATGTCTATCTATGAAGGCAGTGATTAAACTAAATAATAGCCTACATGAAGGCTGGCCCCAGATTGTCTCCTTGAGACCTGAGGCCCTTGAAGAAATTTGCCTGGGAGCCCCTGCACTGCAAAAAATATAAATCTCAATAAGTTATTTTTTCTTAAAATAAGTGTGTTTTTCCTTGATTTGAGGAGGTAAGTAAGACACTTTGCCAATGGAACAAGACAATTTCCTTTTAAAATAAGAAAAAACTATTTTATCGTCTTATTTCAAGTAAATATTATCTAACTATCTTATTTTAAGAGTGAAAATACTCATTCCATTGGCAAATCATCTTATTTACCTGCTCAAATTAAGGCTAAATATACTTAATTTAAGCCATTTTTTACTTATTTCTGGATTGTTTTTTCAGTGTGATCTTTGAGTTTTAATCACCCAGCACAGAAAAAAACCTTCTGAAGCAAACACTGACTGTAAAGCGATGTGAGTGTCATGATTTGGAGGAATTAAGATACTGAAATTGCTTTAAATTGGTCCATGAGCTTCAAACAGCGGTCCTCCGCTACTCTGAATGTGGTTTGTCTTTTGGTTGCCGTCTTCTTAATTGAAAATATAAATCATATTTCACATAATAGCTATATTTTAAACACCAATTACGTCATAATCATTTTTTAATCATATATATTTTTTGTCTTATGTTACGCATCTGCATTAAAAAAAAGTCCTGGAGTTTTGGAGTTGTATACATATTTCTCTTATGGGACCAATAATTGGGGGTGGGGCAGGTTATTTCTACTCTTTCAATAGCAGTTAAACAGACAAACTTAAATCTGCACATTCTACTTAAAGCATCCTACAGTTTCAACTCTAACAAATTATCTTTTAATGCTTTTATTTTACTATCTGCACATCTTTTTTTGAATGCTTCACTGGATGAAAAGCAAATTTACCATCTATATTTGCTAAAATCTATTTTTTGTTCCCTCAGAGATGTGTTTTGCAGGCTAAATATTGCTGTTCGTCAATAACTTTTCAATGAATCATCTTAATCTGTCTGAAGCTGGAAACATTCCTCCAAACGGATCTCTAATCAGAGTTTGTTTTGGCTGATCAGAACTTCATCGTTGCTCTATTAATGTGGACCTGGATGTTTTCCCTACAGCGGCTTCCCAACGGACCGTCCTCCATCCTGGATGACGCCGACATGGACCGACAGAGAGAGGGTGAGATCGAGCGGCAGAGGTCAGAGCTGGGGCAGCTGAAGGAGAGACTGGCTCTCATGTGCAGACAGGTACGTTATCTGGAAACAGTAACCAAGCTCATTTGGATGAGACTGATATTCTTATGGTAACTATCACACTGTCTGCAAAGAACAGAAAATCTCTTACAAAGAACTTTGTAAGAGATTTTTTTTCCCTTCATCCAAATATGTATTAAGTGAAACAAATCCTCTAAGAAAGATCATGCATGTTGATTTTGGCTTCTTCCAGTGGATTCACACTCACAAGAGGCCTCTGCAAGTTCGCAGACCTTCATTAAAACACAGGAATAGTTAGCTACCTGCACAGACAGGATCAGCTAAAGCTCACTTTTTATGAAATTTAAAATAATAAAAAGAGACTTAGAAAACAAAAAAGCATTAAAAGATAAAAAGGAATAAGGACAGGAAGTAAATGTTCCTATAAAGGAAAAAAACACGCTCTGAACACAGATAGCTGCACCCAACTTCTGTTACCTTTGGCTAAAGAAAACTAGTGGAATCACTGGCACTGTCACATAAACCCCCTCCCCTCCAAAAACAGAGATAAATCTTCAAAAGTTGGATATTAACATCAGTCAAAATTATCGGCCCGGTTTCACTTATGAGGCTGATACCGATACGTAAAAAAAAAAAGAGTAATATCTGCCTACACCTTTCTAATAGCAGATCAACCTTCTGCACACTTTAGCTTTAATTACAGAATACTAATTAATAAAAAAAAGGTCAAACTCAGACCGCTGAGCTTTGCTTTAGAATAATCATATATAATTTATGGCAGTCCTGAACTGTTGCAAAGAGAAATTTATTGGAGGGTTTTGATATTTATGAAACCAGTCCAGAAACATGACTGTTCGGTTAATTGGCTTCTCTAACTTGTCCTTAGGTGTGTGTGTGAATGGTTGTTTGTCCTGTTTGCCTCTGTGTTGCCCTGCGATGGATTGGCGACCTGTCCAGGGTGTACCCCGCCTCTCGCCCATTGACTGCTGGAAATAGGCACCAGCACCCCTCGCGACCCCACTAGGGACAAGCGTGTCAGATGATGGATGGATGGATGGATGGATGGATGGATGGATGGATGGATGGATGGATGGATGGATGGATGGATGGATGGATGGATGGATGGATGGATGGATGGATGGATGGATGGATGGATGGATGGATATTTATGAAACCAGTTAAAAGCAGTTCTTTCGTTTTTCTCTCTCAGATGTCTTAGTTTTTCAGTTAAATTGTGCCCAATCTTTGTCCAGGGTTTATATAAGAAGGAGGAACTCTAATTTAATGCTTTTTAACGCTCTTTTAAAGCTCTTAGAAATAATTTTAATGCCATCAATAAGTACCCATTACTCTCCAAATGGGGTCAATGGTGCTATTTAAAATCATTTTAAGGTTTTTTGTCACCTCCTGGATTAGATGTTGGCGCACTCATGAAGTAATTTTGTTATTCAGACCAGTCCATGTTTTCATCATGGATAAGTTTTATTGCTCTGGTTTATTCCAAAAATGTCACAGACCTTGTGTGTTTTATAAATTAAGGCATGGTATGCTGGGGTACGTTGTCATATAAGACAGTTTAAATTTAGGCATCTTCTTGATTCAACAGTTTTAACAGCAGTCAGACAATCCATCTGGTATGGAAGGTGAAAGCATGCTCAGCCATTAGGTAAATCAATGCTAACTAAGGAATTAGTAAGGAATATATATATATATATATATATATATATATATATATATATATATATATATATATATATATATATCGACAGGCTGCAGCCAAGTCCCGAATTTCTCGTTTTCCAGCCACTTATGTTAAAATTTGCATTTTCCCATTCTCTAGCTTTTTCTGTGCCTCGAGCTTCTGTTCTAAACATATGGCTTTAGGATAAACCAGGAGCAGTTCCACGCAAACATGTGGAACCAGTTAAATCTGATATATTTGACAATTTTTTTTATAAAGCATTTTAAATGCCATGATAATCACATTTAATGAATTTTAATGCCAATTAAGGCCTTCATTTAAAAAAAATTATAATTTAAAGGCTTAATGATTTTTAATGACCCACAGAAACCCTGTTGTCACATGGTTAGAAAGAGAAAATATAATTTCAGTTTTTATTCTAAAACTTTAGCTATTTTAACAGGAATAGAAACACTTTACTGGGTTTTGATTGTGCTGCTTTCTAAATAGGTTTTACACAATATCTCCTCCAATAAGAAAGCAAACATGACTTGTCTGGTAATTTGAAAATAAAAATAAAAAAGTGACATCTGTTATCTGATTTACTTAATCCACTCTAAGGATGATTTCATCAACTTTTTGTTTCAGGTTGGAGAGATCGAGGAGCAGCTGACATCTGCCAGGAGGGAGCTGGCCCGTTCGGAGGAGGCCAACCAGAAACTACAGAGGGACCTGAAGGAAGTGAGGGTCGCCGAGGGGATGGTGGATGTGTTCCAGTTACAGTGGAGGTTTTTTAAAAAGCTTTCTGTGGCAACAAAGCGTCAGACTGGAAAGCGAACAACCTCCAGCAGCATTCAGCTGCTGGGCTGCAGGCGTTTCTACCTTGTTAATCTGTCAGTGAAGGCTGGTTGAAAGGAACACCAAGTGTTTTAGGATAAGAGGCAGTCCAGCCCCCAAAACTATTTCCATCCACTTCCTGCTCTTTTATCTCACTAAATCGGCTCAATAAAAGGCTGAAATCTGTCAACAGTGACTGTAACTCTTCACCTAACAGCAGCTGTAACCCACGTCCACCTGCAGAAACCTCACACTCATCAAGCTTTCTCAACAACTTTTCTTCTTTTTAATCCCCCAGGCCCTTTGTCAAAGGGAAGACATGGAGGAGAGAATCACCACATTAGAGCGCAGGTTTGTGTTTTTTTACTCCTTGAATTCTTGAAATGGCCCTTCGTGCTCTCTGACTCATCCGTCTGCCATTTTTGCAGGTACCTGAGTGCCCAGAGGGAGGCGACGTCTCTCCATGATATAAAAGACAAACTGGAAAATGAGCTGGCCAGCAAGGAGTCTCTCCACAGACAGGTGGGAAGCCTCTTCATCCGTCTGTGTCCGTGTTGCAGCTGCTGATTGGCAGCTTGGCAGTTTTTCCCACTCTGGCACTCAGAGCGTGTCTCTGAGGCATTTACCTTCCCCTCGTCTGTCGCTTTAATCATGCCTGCTGCCCTGGGCGGTCTACGCTCTCTGAGTCTCTCCATGTCATCCTGCAGAGCGAGGAGAAAAACCGGCAGCTTCAGGAGTGCCTGGACGACGCCAAACAGAAGCTGCAGCAAACCCTGCAGAGGGCCGAGACGCTGCCTGAGATCGAAGCCCAGCTCGCTCAGAGAGTGGCAGCGCTCAACAAGGTCTGTGTGACATCAGCATGTCTAAGCTGGAAACATGGCCTCTCTGTCCCTGTTCATTCAAAAGTAAAGACGCAGCAACAGACTAACTTCCATCAAAACATGTCAATATCTCTAAAAGATTCCTTAATTGAAGTAGTTACTGTAAATCAATTTAAAAAGTTAAACTATTGCATTAAATAAACAGATTTCACACAAGGAGACATCTTTCAAATATTTATTTTTGTCACTATAATGCAGTTAATAAGAAAATTCAAATGTCATTTATTTCTTATAGATTAATTCATTTGAACAAAAAAAAGTATTTAAAAATGCATTCCTTACAGCCGCCTTCAGCTTTCATTACTTCATTCCTTTGCTGTTTGTCTACACAGTCGTATAACTCAGGTAACAGCTAAAAAAAATGTTTTTATTACCAGTAATCCAATCTGAGATCAGACCGGATAAAAAATAACTGATTCTCTTTCTTGAGAATCGGTTCGATGCTTGAATCAATATGCATCCAAACACCCAGGACAGGATGCCCGCCCTTAACGGGTCAATGCATACAACCATGCACACACATACAGTCACACCTAGGGGCAATTTAGAGATGCAACTTAATCTAATAGTCATTTTTTGTAGCCAGAGAGAACCCACACATGTAAACGTCCTGCAGAAAGATCCCAGGCCGGGAACTGAACCCAGGATCGTTTTGCTTCAAGTCAACAGTGCTACAAACTGCTCTACCATGCAGTAATGGCTTTATAAAGATAAAAACAGCCACTGATGGGAAGTTTAGTGGAAGGAAAAAGTGTATCAATATTCATTAGGAATAAACGTACTTGACAGAGGCCATGCATTTATTTAGGGTTGATTAATCAGCTGTGGGCTGATTAATCAACTTTTTTTTTCACATATATACACATCTAAGACACAAGACACCTTTAGGAAAACCTAACCTCGGCAAAGGAGGAAAAGGGAATTTTTAAGTAATCAATATTCCAGTTTTCAGTAAATTACAAGCATTCATTTGGAAAAGAAGGTTTAAGGGTCTGAGGGGAAAGTGAAGAAGAACAGAATCCAAACCGGCTTACTGCAGGTCTGGTGTTAATCGATGTAACTTTTTATTATACAGGTGCTGGTCATAAAATTAGAATATCATGAAAAAGTAGATTGATTTCAGTAATTCCATTTAAAAAGTGAAACTTGTATATTATATTCATACATTACATACAAACTCATATATTTCAGATGTTTATTTTGTTTAATTTTGATGATTACAAATGACAACAAATGAAAATCTCAAATTCATCATATCAGAAAATTAGAATATTACTGAAGACCAATAAAAACAAAGGATTTATAGAAATGTTGGCCAACTGAAAAGTATGAACATGAAAAGTATGAGCATGTACAGCACTCAGTATTTAGTTGGGCCTCCTTTGGCCTGTATTACTGCAGCAATGCGGCGTGGCATGGAGTCGATCAGTCTGTGGCATGGCTCAGGTGTTATGATAGCCCAGGTTGCTCTAATAGTGGCTTTTAGCTCTTCTGAATTGTTGGGTCTGGTGTATTGCATCTTCTTCTTCACAATACCCCATAGATTTTCTATGGGGTTAAGGTCAGGAGAGTTTGCTGGCCAATTAAGAACAGGGATACCATGGTCCTTCAACCAGGTACTGGTAGCTTTGGCACTGTGTGCAGGTGCCAAGTCCTGTTGGAAAATGAAATCTGCATCTCCAAAAAGTTGGTCAGCTGCAGGAAGCATGAAGTGCTCTAAAACTTCCTGGTATGTGGCTGCGTTGACCCTGGACCTCAGAAAACACAATGGACCAACACCAGCAGATGACATGGCACCCCAAACCATCACTGACTGTGGAAACTTTACACTGGACTTCAAGCAACGTGGATGAAGTGCCTCTCTTCTTTTCCTCCAGACTCTGGGACCTTGATTTCCAAAGGAAATGCAAAATTTACTTTCATCAGAGAACATGACTTTGGACCACTCACCAGCAGTCCAGTCCTGTTTCTCTTTAGCCCAGGCAAGACGCTTCTGACGCTGTCTGTGGTTCAAGAGTGGCTTGACACAAGGAATGCGACAGCAGAAACCCATGTCTTTCATACGTCTGTGTGTGGTGGTTCTTGAAGCACTCACTCCAGCTGCAGTCCACTCTTTGTGAATCTCCCCCACATTTTTGAATGGGTTTTGTTTCACAATCCTCTCCAGGGTGCGGTTATCTCTCTTGCTTGTACACTTTTTTCGACCACATCTTTTCCTTCCCTTCGCCTCTCTATTAATGTGCTTGGACACTGAGCTCTGTGAACAGCCAGCCTCTTTAGCGATGACCTTTTGTGTCTTGCCCTCCTTGTGCAAGGTGTCGATGGTCGTCTTTTGGACAACTGTCAAGTCAGCAGTCTTCCCCATGATTGTGTAGCCTATAGAACTAGACTGAAAGACCATTTAAAGGCTTTTGCAGGTGGTTTGAGTTAATTAGCTGATTAGAGTGTGGCACCAGGGGCCATCAATTTTGAACCTTTTCACAATATTCTAATTTTCTGATATGATGAATTTGAGATTTTCATTTGTTGTCATTTGTAATCATCAAAATTAAACAAAATAAACATCTGAAATATATGAGTTTGTATGTAATGCATGAATATAATATACAAGTTTCACTTTTTAAATGGAATTACTGAAATCAATCTACTTTTTCATGATATTCTAATTTTATGACCAGCACCTGTATTATACAGAAGGACTGCTGTACTGGTCAAGTACTTACTACATGTACTGGACAGTACATGGAAATACTTTTAGTTTTATCTGTGAGGCAGAGTCAGTAAATATGTCTAAAATGAGGGATGAATATCTAAAATATACTGTATTTATATCCTTCAGTTGCTGTTCAGACATACAGAAAAGCAGGTTGATTTCCAGAGAAATGACTGAATACAGTAAAAGTTGAAGAAATCTTCCTTCTTGTTGCTAGATTTTGACTTTCATATAATTCAACTCAGTCGGCTGTTTCTTGTGGAATAATTAGAATAATTTTGATGTTAAGGTCATTAATTCACCATTAATTAAATTCAGGATTTATAGTGTTTATCATCAAAACATTCAAGGATAAACATGTCAGCTCAAAAGCATCTAGTAATGAGGAAATAATTCTAACAATAAACTAAAACCTTAAAACCCTAACTATTTATTTATTTGTTCAGTTAATTAAACAGGTACAGCCTCACTGAAATAAAATCTCTTTAGCTGTCGAAGGCAGTAAAAAAATAATAACAAAATGAATTGAAACTAAAAAAAATCCACAAGCAATGATAAAATGATAGACACTCCAACCCTGCAGGTATTCTGACAGGCATGTGACCCAGCAGAGGGTGTCGCTCTAACTGCAACCAGAAACGCAAACTACATGGATGGGTTTAATCTGGGAAGGTTATTAGAGGAAATGGGGCTTCACTCTCCTGAAAATTAAATATTTAACTTCCACAGGTGCAAGCAGTGACTAATGTCTAATCCACAGATGTCAGCCAAATATTTGACAGAGCTGAAGCTCCCAGCTGAAAGCTTGCAGGATCGGCGAGGCTGTTTGATCCGCAACACATCAGGAACCGCACTCGACACAAATTCCTCTTTTCATTGTTAATTCCTGTAAACACAATTTTCACTCATGCCAAAAACGTGTATTGCATTCACCCCCCCACCCTTTGTCAGAGTTTTGAAGGCTAGTTTCGTCTTGCATGTTGAGGCAGGAAGGCTTTCGTGGCAGGATCATATTAAGGCCCCGTTAAGAAGCAGCCAAACAAACGTCCCTGTTGCGCTGTCATCTGCACAGGCATGTAACCAATTAGCACACTCAGTCAACAAGCTCTCTTCCTTTGTGATAATTTGTAAGTGTCGCAACACGGCTCCCGTTCTCACCCCTCTTCCTCGCCGATCATTCAGGCAGAGGAGCGTCATGGCAACTTTGAGGAGCGGCTGCGACAGATGGAGGCACAACTGGAGGAGAAGAACCAGGAGCTACAGAGAGTGAGTCACCCTCTGTTTTTCTTTCATCCTCCTCCTCTTTCTTTCCATTTCTTTTTGTCCAAGCTTTAAGCGACACAAAGGAGCGCTGATTTTCTAAACCCTCTCTTTGACTGTGCACGTTCAGATAGAAATCTTTGTCTAGAGGTCTGAGTCAATCAGAATGCTTGGTATTAAATTCTCCTCCCACCTTCTCTGCTCTCCCTCCTTATTCTGACTGGGTTTTTTTTCCCTCTCTCAAATCATCTTTCTGTCTGCCCCTCAGGCGAGGCAGAGGGAACGGATGAATGATGAACACAACAAGCGTCTCTCTGACACTGTGGACAAACTGCTGTCTGAGTCCAATGAGAGGCTGCAGCTGCATCTGAAGGAGAGGATGGCCGCTCTGGAGGAGAAGGTGATGACCATCTCAGCCCCAACAGGAAAAGGAGACCAGATAATCCCAGTGTTCTCTTTACTATCTTCCTTCTCATTAGGAAAGACATCATTTTATACAATAAATACATTTTCTATATTCATATTCATACAGCGTTCCAACACACCACAATTCTAATTTATAAAAGTAGAAATGGATGGATGGATGTATGGATGGTTTGATGATGGATGGATGGATGATGGATGGATGGATGGATGGATGGATGGATGGATGGATGGATGGATGGATGGATGGATGGATGATGGATGGATATATGGTTGGAGGTTCTATGTATGTCGTCTATTTTACAGTTAAAAGATCATAAGCTTAACAGTCATCAAAACAGATGATCTACCGGAATGTCATGAAAAACTTTCCAGTGTTGCAATCAAGAATATTTCCAGTAATGATGGATTAATGTGTTTAGTAAACAATAGGTGTATTCATTGCTTGTTTATTTTCTCATTCCCTGTCTCCTCCATGCCTCTGCACAGAATGCCCTATCTGAGGAATTATCCAACATGAAGAAACTCCAAGACGACCTGTTGGCTAACAAGGTAAAATCCTCTCCATGTATCATTCATATTCCAGCTCTACACGCCCCATTTTTCTTTTGGACCAACTCTGCCTGGTTTTTACTTCCAGGACCAGCTGATAGCGGAGCTGGAGCGTCTGCAGCTGGAGGTGGATCAGCTTAGAGCTCGACCTGGAGGCTCCTATTCCAGGTCTGCTCAGTGCAAACATCTATACTGCAAAAAGCCCCCAGCTATCTGCCTGACTGTAAAATTTAAATGCTGACAACAGATCACTCTTCATGCTCCACACAGTCAGCAGTCACGCTAACTGGGATGATAAATGTTACACGCTCACTTCACAAACACATGAATTATCTTGCATTTCGTGTTACTTTGCAGCATTTGTCAGGTCCCCCTGCCGATGTGTTGACAGTAATATGTTGTAATGTTCACCAGGGGCCATCATGTAACTTAAAACTAACTATTACTAACGTTTTAGCTCAATTTTTCTGGTTTTATGAGTCATCTTGCACAACATTCCTATACCTGTGGTCTGTTTTTGTTATACTGTCATGGTTAAGTTACCACACAAACCTCATTCACCACAGGGGATAATTACCCTTCTTATCTTATCGGGAACAATCTTTTGCTTTTTTCCTTGCAGCCGTTCTTTGCCAGGCAGCGCCTTGGAGCTGAGGTATTCCCATGGAGGTGGATCCCTTCCAACAGGCTCCACCGCTCACCTCGATCCCTTCGGTAATGCCTCTGGTGGAGGTGTTGGCAGACGCCACAGGGCCCGCTGGAGCACTGCCCATGAGGACTCAAGCAAGGTACAAAGAGTTCTATACATTAAGACACATGGACATATTTTCCAATACTATTTATAAAAAAAAAAAAAGTGAAATATGGTGGTTTTAATTTACAATAAAGGTATGTAAAGGTAAAATATGGAGGGGTGAATGAGACAAAAATTAAATAAAGAAATACAAAAATAAATGTATCATGAAATAAATAACTGTGCTTTGAAATTATTTAATATAAAACGAATTAATTAAATACAGCTTTAGTTCTGCAGATGGAGTTTGATGGGTGAAGTTGACAGTTTAAATGATATTATATTGAATTTTCTTTGCAGACACCATAAAATATAATGAATACAAAGTAAAATATAAAATGTAAATTATTTTTTTTATCAGAAATTACACTGAACTATTAATTTTCATAATTTAACATGTATAAATGTTTAGATACTTGATGCCATATTTCATTGTTTACTTTTGAATTTCACAATTCTTTTGTTAATTGAAATTTTATTTTAAATACTGAAATGGTAGATTTAATTATATGATAAAAACATTTAATTACACTTTAATTTTTTTGATTTTACATAATTTATTTCTTGGTACATTTATCTATTGCTCCCCAAGGTGATTATTATTGTGGAACAATGAAGGGATTTACTTTTACATTTATTTCCTTTTTCACTTAATAAATCATTTTAGTTATTTAATGATGTGCAGCATTAAAAAGATAAATGGTACATTTATTGTTTAATGTCACATTTAATGGTGCATTCATTTATTGGATTTTACGTTTCATTGGTATATAGTACATTCATTTATTTCATCATACATCTATTTATTTAATTTTTTCCTCTTGAACCCTCTATAGGAAGAAGTTATGTTACAAAGTTATGAAAAATCAGTCGTTGGCATTCTTTAATGTTTTTATAACGTTCTGTGTAATCACAAGCATTTTATTGTTCTGGTAAGTTGCGCTCATAAAACCTGCTGCTCCTGTTCTACATGTACTTTGCTGTTAATAAAACTGTCAACACATCATTCTGATCTAAGAGTAAAGATAGAAGATAAAATAGAATGAGTGTCAATCAGGAGTACTGTTAGAAAGTGGAGGATCTAATAACATGTTTGTCTTCCTTACGGTTCAGAACACAGTTTGTTTCCTGAGAGTCATTTGCTTCTCTTGTCATATTCAGAAATGTTGATATCTCTTTTATTCCTGAACGCAGCAGCAATGATGCAGCACTGGAACTAACTGGTATCAGCTCTAACAGCTGCCAGCTTGCAGTCAGCTCTTTCACAGACAAACTGCTCTTAGTTTTGCAAGAACATTTTTTTAGGAACAGTTTTACCTCAGTGAGATTGATAGATGAGCTGTTTATTCACTGGATGTGTCTAATATTTCAACTTAGTTACATTTGTATTTGTTGTAAAAGAGAGAAAGCAATAGAAACCAACCAGCTGATCAGCAGTGTGCAGCCCCAGATATAAGCAGGAGGAAGGTTATGCCACTCTGTCAGCCAGAGCAAATATTGTACACGATGTGAGAGATAAATCACAAGTAATTAACTGATGGAAAAGTGATTTTAAAATGCTGCATTCTTAAACCTTAGTGTAAGTTGACAACCTGCTTGTTCAGATGTTCTATTCTTAACAACAGTGGTCAGAAGAGAAATCGAAATATAGCCCAGGTGTTTTTAGTTTTGCCAAAGGATTTTTTTTTTTATGTTTGAGAGGGAATTATAAAATTTCTCCTTTATTTAAAGAAGTTTTCAGAACTAAGGTTAAATTTTTTTCTGAAAAGCTGCTCAATAATAATCTGTGTCATTGTTGAGAATTTAATGTAACTCCATCCATCCATTCAACATATTCTCATTATCAGTTCGTATGAAATCGTACGAAAAGTTATGCACACTATTTCATACTTTTTGTACGTTTTTCCTCAAAAAAACAAATCAGTGCGCATGCGCAGGCAGACAGACAAAAAAAAGCAGATCCGCGGACGGACGTAAAACTGGGAAAAACAGTGCAATAATTACTTCTTCATGTCTCTAACTACGTTGCTTGCTGCTTTATACCTTAGGGTAAGGGTTAGGGTTAATTGTATGTTAAATTCGAAGTTATTAAATGGTGCGTAAGATGCGCATGCGCATCGACGAAAAAAACGTCCAAAACGTACGAAATTACGGTGCATAACTTTTCGTACGATTTCATACGAACTCATAATGAGAATACACTGATCCATTTTCTGTCACACTTTATCCCAACTGGGGTCGTGAGTGGTGCTGGTGCCTATCTCCAGCTGTCAATGGGCGAGAGCGGGGTCAACCCTAGACAGGTCGCCAGTCTATCGCAGGGCAACACAGAGATAAACAAGAAAAAACAACCATTCACTCACAGACTTACTGCTAAAGAGAGTTTAGAAAAACCAATTAACCTAACAGTCATGTTTTTGGACTGTGGGAGGAAGTCGGAGTACCCAGAGAGAACCCACACATGCACAGGGAGACCATGCTCCATGCAGAAATACCCCCGGACCGGGAATCAAACCCCAAACCTGCTCAGTGGTGCAGTGCTACCCACTGCACGCCTGAGAAGCCTGGATTTAATGTAACTATGACTTATAATTCACAGCAGTGATTCAATACATGATACAACCATAAAGTAGCAAGTCCTGACATAGCTTAACCATACGAATTAATCAAACGTAAACATTAACGATTCAGAGCAAAAGTGGGCATCATAGTTTAAAGACATGATACATGGCGTTTCACAAAAAAATACATCTTCTCATGTTTACTCTTGTGTACCAGGTGTATAAAAATTTGAAAACAGACTTAGCCCTTAGGCAATTCACAGTTCACGGTGTTAAAATCTTCTGGTTTGTTTCTCTTTGCCCAGTACCCAGACTGGGATAGCGGGGCTCTGCTGGGGACCGGGTACGAGCAGAGCATGGACGTGGGCTGCTCTGACGACGAAGAGGACGAACATCGTTTTGAACTGCTTTCTCCCAGCGGACAGAAAGACGTGCAGACCCTGGCCATCATGCTGCAGGAACAGCTGGAGGCCATCAATAAGGAGATCAAGTATGAAAGAGGGAGGCTGAAATAAACAACTCCCTGCAAACTTGTACCAGCTTGATATAATCCTCTACATGATCCTAAAAGCCTTATCAGAAACTCTGTGATACTGCATATATTGGGAAAATGCTGATCGTTAGTTAAAGATTTATAAAAATGTTAATACTGAAGCTCATTTTTGATTTAGGATTAATATATTTTGTTGTGGATTATTTCCTTTTTAAAGTTCTTTAAAGATTTCATGCTCTTCTGCTCTTTTTTAATTAAAACCAGGTTGATCCAAGAGGAGAAGGAGAACACAGAGCTGCGAGCGGAGGAAATCGAAAGCCGGGTCAGCGTGGCGTTGGACAGCCCACCCATCCCTCCCTCGTCCTTAGGCAGAGACAGCACAGGACGAGGCTTCATTCCATCGTCCATCACGTCCTCCACCCTGGCCTCCCCGTCCCCCCCCAGCTCTGGACACTCCACACCTCGCCTGCCTCACTCCCCAGCCCGGGAGACTGACAGACAGGTACCGGTAACTGGCACTGGAATGTAATAATCAGCTCCATTTCCAGTCAGTGTTTATTAACCGTCTTTCCCTGTTTATGTAAAACAGCTCCTCCAGAAAATGAGTCAAGGAAAGCAGGTGTTTATCAAGCTGATCGAAAAATATGAAAGATTTTTTTTACTAGATGGAACAATTGATAGAAATTTGCTTTTAAGCTAATTAGGAAAACAATGCATAACAATCAAATATTTATCAAAACAAGAACACAAAATAGAAAAAACTGGATTCACCCTAATTAATGAGATATATTATATTTTCTATTACCTATATATAAAAGTGTTGTTGTATAGTGTCAAAAGATTAAATACAGATTCTACGTTTTTTTCCATCACACTTAAAGGTACTGTATAGTGGAGGATGTTTTTTTTTTTCTGGGTGGTTCATCAGGTAGTTCTAACCTTCAATCATTCTGCTGATACGTTTACGTAAGGTGGTCCTATGTGATCTTCCCCATTTTCGCTTACTGGTGGCGGGTCTGACATAGTGGAAAAATTGCAAATCTTCTTTTGAAAAATAAGCTGTTTGAGCGATGCAAACAGCAACTCTTAAACAGGGTGTGCTGGAGGAGAATTGGGCTCATGCATGCTCTTGATCTCGTTTAATAGACGTTCCCTTTCGGGGGCAGGTACAGGGTTGTTTATGTGCATTTTTTTTTTTTAGTGGAGAGGGCAGTAGGCTGTGTTGTAGTGTGCAATAGTCCATATGCCTTGCCACATCCTCCTGGTATTGCTGGCATCGTGGAAGAGATCCTGGATCTCAATGCTGCGTTCACACCGGACGCAGCAGGCGCGACAGAAGCAGCGAGTTTACATGCAAAGTCAATGGTTGACGCAGTACAGTCTTCAATGGTTAAAATCACCACCAATGATGAAAACATCCTCTGTGTGTGCAGATTGAAGCTCAGAGATAATCAGCCTGGTTTAGAGTCTTCATGGCCTCTTTTGTATTAGTGCTGGGGGGACATACACAGCAGTGATACTAACAACAGTGAACTCTCTAGGCACACAGAGCCCCCTTCCTCTAGTCTTACCGCTGAGTTTGCTGTTTCTATTGGCATGCTTTCACCTTCCATACCAGATGGATTGCCTGATTGCTGTTAAAACTGTTGAAGCAAGAAGATGCCTAAATTTAAACTGTCTTACATGACAATGTACCCCAGCATACCATGCCTCGATTTATAAAACTAGTGATAAAACACACAAGGTCTGTGTCATTTTTGGAATAAACCAGAGCAATAAAACTTATCCATGATGAAAACATGGACTGGTCTGAAAACCAAAATTACTTCATGAGTGCATCAACATCTAATCCAGGAGGTGACAAAAAACCTTAAAATGGTTTTAAATAGCACCAGTGACCTCATTTCACCCCTTTAAGGTCAGTCATTTGTTAGAGAAAGAAAATAAAAATGGCACCCATGTGGGGAATCATGCAAGAGTTTCATGATAGCAATATCGTTACAAAATGTATGTGCATTTTAAAACTGAGTTAACATTTTACGTTCCAGAACAACAAAGAGGACGATCGATCCCTCGCTCTCCTCGACTCCACGCCTCCTCCTACTCCTCGTGCGCTGCGATTGGACAGAATGAACCTCACCCATCCGGGTGCGTTGCTCGACGACCCCCGGGAGTTTCGGAGGTAAAATCACATTTCCAGAATACCCAGAAAAAAGTGTTTGTTTCTTATTTTTTGCTCTCGTTGATTTCCTCTTAATGTCGCAGCCTTTCTGCAGATGGCAGCAGCTCCAACAGCAGCCAAGATTCTCTCCACAAGTCCAATAAAAAGAAAAGCATCAAGTCGTCAATTGGCCGGCTTTTTGGAAAAAAGGAGAAGGGACGATTGGGTCAACCTGGTCGAGATGGAACCCCTTCTCTCGGTAAAGGATAAGTGTTACATCTGTGTCTTTTTAAACAGGGTTCAGCTGCGATTGCTTTGTATTTCGAGACAGATTTGATCTTTCTATGTCTCTCTCAGCATCTACTCCCTCTGAAGACCTCGGAACTGGAGACGCAATGGGGATAAACAAGACAGGAACTCTTGGTCCAGCAGATAAAGACCGTCGCAGCAAAAAGAAGTATGTGAATTTGATCAATCTTAAATGGTGTCACTGGAAAAACGATCTAGAAATAAGTAAAAATTCCTTAAATTAAGTGTATTTATCCTTAATTTGAGTAGGTTAATGAGATAGTTTGCAAATGGAATGAGTATTTTACTCTTAAAATAAGATAATTAGATTACATACACTTGAAATAAGACACTGCAATTGTACTGCAAGTGTAAATTGTCTTGTTCCATTGGCAAAAAGTCTCTTTTACCTCCTTAATCCAAGAACAAATGCACTTATTTTAAGAAAAAATTGCTTATCTAGATTTAGATTTTTTCCAGTGTATTCTAAATGATTTCCAATTTTCCATATAACTTCCTTTCTTATTGCTCCGCTTGTCAGACATGAACTACTGGAAGAAGCCTGTCGCCAAGGACTTCCATTTGCATCTTGGGATGGACCTACTGTTGTTTCTTGGTTAGAGGTATGTCATCCTGAAGTGGTAATAAATGAATGGACTGAAAGTGAAATTAATCCTCCTAACTTCCTTTCAGCTGTGGGTGGGCATGCCAGCGTGGTACGTCGCTGCCTGTCGTGCCAATGTAAAGAGCGGTGCGATTATGGCAAACCTGTCCGACACAGAAATCCAGAGGGAGATCGGAATCAGTAACCCACTCCACCGTCTCAAGCTGCGCCTGGCCATCCAGGAGATGGTGTCCCTCACCAGCCCATCTGCCCCAGCCAGCACACGCTCGGTAAGTATCTTTCAGTACGTACAGTCACACTTTTTGTTTTTGCTTTCCTACGAAAAGAATGAGATAGTGTCCTTAAAAGTTAAAATCTACACTCACCGGCCACTTTATTAGGTACCCCATGCTAGTAATGGGTTGGACCCCCTTTTGCCTTCAGAACTGCCTCAATTCTTCGTGGCACAGATTCAACAAGGTGCTGGAAGCATTCCTCAGGGAGTTTGGTCCATATTGACATGATGGCATCACACAGTTGCCGCAGATTTGTCGGCTGCACATCCATGATGCGAATCTCCCGTTCCACCACATCCCAAAGATGCTCTATTGGATTGAGATCTGGTGACTGTGGAGGCCATTTGAGTACAGTGAACTCATTGTCATGTTCAAGAAACCAGTCTGAGATGATTCCAGCTTTATGACATGGCGCATTATCCTGCTGAAAGTAGCCATCAGAAGTTGGGTACATTGTGGTCATAAAGGGATGGACATGGTCAGCAACAATACTCAGGTAGGCTGTGGCGTTGCAACGATGCTCAATTGGTACCAAGGGGCCCAAAGAGTGCCAAGAAAATATTCCCCACACCATGACATCACCACCACCAGCCTGAACCGTTGATACAAGGCAGGATGGATCCATGCTTTCATGTTGTAGACGCCAAATTCTGACCCTACCATCCGAATGTCGCAGCAGAAATCGAGACTCATCAGACCAGGCAACGTTTTTCCAATCTTCTATTGTCCAATTTCGATGAGCTTGTGCAAATTGTAGCCTCAGTTTCCTGTTCTTAGCTGAAAGGAGTGGCACCCGGTGTGGTCTTCTGCTGCTGTAGCCCATCTGCCTCAAAGTTTGACGTACTGTGCGTTCAGAGATGCTCTTCTGCCCACCTTGGTTGTAACGGGTGGTTATTTGAGTCACTGTTGCCCTTCTATCAGCTCGAACCAGTCTGGCCATTCTCCTCTGACCTCTAGCATCAACAAGGCATTTCCGCCCACAGAACTGCCGCTCACTGGATGCTTTTTCTTTTTCGGACCATTCTCTGTAAACCCTAGAGATGGTTGTGCGTGAAAATCCCAGTAGATCAGCAGTTTCTGAAATACTCAGACCAGCCCTTCTGGGACCAACAATCATGCCACGTTCAAAGTCACTCAAATCACCTTTCTTCCCCATACTGATGCTCGGTTTGAACTGCAGGAGATTGTCTTGACCATGTCTACATGCCTAAATGCACTGAGTTGCCACCATGTGATTGGCTGCTTAGAAATTAAGTGTTAACGAGCAGTTATTAGTGTACCTAATAAAGTGGCCGGTGAGTGTAAATGTTGATAACAGTATGCATATATGTATTTGAAAAACATAAAATCACCATTGATGTTTTGGTGCTTATTTTAAATGACATGGGTTGACTGGAACGTTCTTGTAAACATTTTCTCAGTAAGGGAGGTGGTTCTATTTACTTCTGCTCCGTTCATCTTTAGAACATGCAGCTTAGTGAGAAGTTCAAACTCGGTGCTCACACTAATGCTTGGCGATCCAGTAACAAGTTAACAGCTGTAGCTATGTGTGTTCACAGTTTGTGTTGAAATGCATCCCCCATCCCCCCACGCTCGGTTACCCGCTCTAGATGTAAATAAATATGCAACTTACGTCATATAGCCAGATCTTAGCAGATAGTTAGATAAATTCACTTTTATTTATTTATCTTTTTATATAAAAAAATAAATAATAATAATAAAAAATAAATTAATTAAATTAAATTAAATAAAAAATTTTAATAAAAAAAAGATAGTCACTTTTATTTTTGTTATTTTTTTTTATATAAAAAAATTATAATAATAATAAAAAATAAATAAATTAAATTAAATTAAAAATTTAAATAAAAAAAGATAGTCACTTTTATTTTTATTATTTCTTAATATAAAAAAAAAATAATAATAAAAAATAAATAAATTAAATTAAATTAAATATTTAAATGAAAAAAAGATAGTCACTTTTATTTTTATTTATTTTTTATATAAAAAAATAAATAATAATAATAAAAAATAAATAAATGAAATTAAATTTTATAAATAAAAAAATAAAAAAAATAAAAAAGATAAAGTCACTTTTATGCTAAAAATAACTAAATCCTAGACCACAAATCTGCCATTAATTGATTTTTTTTTTGCATGAATCAGGTTTATCATAGTTCTTTATGGATATTTCAAGACACCTCTGTAAAAGATAAAATTGAAGAGAAATAAAAGGATCTTAAAATAACTTAAGAATTTATGAACTTCCAATCATAAAATGCTCACCATTATTTTTCTTTTATATATATCTTTATTTTCTGATGGCTCTCTGGCAGTTTAATGACAATTTTCCATGAAATGTGGTAAATCTTACTGAAAGAGGCCACTAACCCAATAAACATTAACTTTATGACTTTCTTATTGAAGACTTTGCCTCAATCATTTGGGATGATGCTTGATGACGATGATGAGGCAATGAAAGACCAGATTTTAGCAATTTGTTGGTAAAACAGCACACATCATAATTCAAAGAGCTCATAAAACTATATTAGGCTTCCATCAATAGAAAAATTACAAGGACTAAATAACAATGGTGAGAAAGACCTTACTTTGAATTATAGTGTTCAGTATCACCTTACTGAATACATCTTTGGACACTGAGTGGGGGTAATGAGATGATTTACACAAATATCATCACGGCTATATGGAGGCCCAAAATACATAATTGAATAAATAAGTGTTTCATGAAAAAATTAAATATGCATCTAATACATGATGGAGATATTAAAGCTACAGTGTGTAATAATTACAGGGATATACAGTCAGAAATGTAATATATTATACATAACTATGTTATTTATCATCATCTACGAGCTCAGCCTCTTAACCTTAATATTTGCGTTGCCTTAGAATTCGTTATTTATAATTACATAGGAGCGGGTCTCGCAGCCATGGAGGCAGACATCTTTGCGCTACGGCAGCGCAGAGCCAACAAACTAGCGATTGCGAGATCGCCAAAACTTCGCAACGATGTAGAAAAAATAACAGGTATATTTATTATCTTAAGTCTACATGAAATCTATACCCTACACAGACTAATGAAATACTATCTGTAAAATTATCTATGTAAACAAACCTCATCACTTGAGAAGGTAGGTGATGCGGACGTCGTGGAAGACATTTTGTCCTGTAACGCTCGCCGTACTGTTGGGGGGGAGAAGTGGTGGGGGGGAGATGTTCATGTTGCTGCAGTCTGCAGTCTGACCGCTAGATGTCGCTAAAAGTTACAAATTGTAGCTCTAAATACAATTAGATTGATAAATATATTGAATTATCGATATTACATTTGAAATAATGTATTAAGTAATTTAATGTCATTTATTCATAAATTAATTAAAAAACTTCTATCCATGTTATTCCGTAAAAATTCAAAAAATATCCACTGGACTTGGTTTTCAAGATTTGAAGACGTTTCGCCACCTCTCCAGGAATGTTAATAAATAGATATAGACTGGAATGCCTGTTTGTGCTTTTAGGGGGTTGCCAGTGATTAACACTGTTATATTTGGCTGAAATGTTTGTGAATCCCTGGTCTAAAGGGTAAATTAGCATTTATTATGTTTTTATCAAACAATTCATACCATTTGCTTCTGGTTGACTGCAGTTAGTGATGCTTTCCTATCAGTCCTATGCAGTTTAAAGCAGATAAAACTATCCACACTAGAGTCAAGTAAATCTTTTCTATCTTAAAGGACTTTTGTGCCCAATATTTGTGAAAACACACTTTGTCTTACTTCACATGTGTTCCTCTTTGGAAACTTGAACCAGTTTTTAACCCGTTTGAAAAAGATGTTTAAAAGCTGCAGGACAGCGGTCTTTAAGGTCCTTCGTTAGAAACTGCTGCCCTGCCTCGTATTGGTTCCAAAGCTGTTCCATAGAATTAAAAACGGCGTTGTCTCTCAAAAGAAAACTCAAGCACACATTTTTTTTTTTTAAGGTCGCAGTTTTTTATGATTTTTAATGATTTAAAAAGAAAAAAGAAGAAAGTTCAGATCTTGAGATAAAACAGTAATTGGGAATTATCAGGAATCTTTAGTTTAAGTTGCTTTATCTCTGAATAACCCAGCTTACGCTCAGTTTCTGTATAAATCCTGAGCAATCTGACTTCATTTGGACAACATTAAATACAGATGTGAATGCTTTAAAGCTGGAGGATGAGTTTAGCCGTCTGCAGGGGGAATCTGTTTTGGATCACAGAAAAACCACCCACTGACCCGCTATCGCATGTCTCAAGCAACAGAAATATTAGCTGAATATGTGGTTTAAAAAATGCTTTCTTTAAACAGCACTGTTAAATTCATGCACTGCTGCTGGCAAACGTCTTTTGAAATGTTTATAATTTAGGAGCTCTATGGTGAAAGACGTTTTCAGCGGCTCTTTTCTGGGATTGTCGTCAAAGGGCCGTCCTGTGTGGATTACCAGAATACTCAGTCAAGTAACATGTGTTTTTGTTGTCAGGGTTGATTGTAGATTTCTCCAGAATTGCAAAGTTTATCATTCACATTCAATAACTTTACAGGGTCAATAAAGGGGAAAACCATTTTTTTTTTACATTGGGCCCTTGATTTTACGTTATTCCATCATGTTCTACTCACCCATATGAGTTTTGTATCATCTATTCCTAAGATATTCAGTTTTGTTATATCCAAGTAACGTCTTCCTGTGGGCAAATGACTTGAAGGCACAAAACTAAACTGTTCATAATTTATTCTTTATGGTACGCCAGCATTTATAACATGCAGGCGAATCACTGTCATCCGCAGACATCCGCGGTTATCCCTATAATGCCGAATGTATCATATTTAATACATACTGTTTCTGAAATGTTTTGCATCTGACACCTTTTGCATAATTTAATGGTAAAAACTTTGCTCAAAATCCTATCGTTCACAATCAGATATACCTGATAACAGCCAGTAGAAGACTACACCAAAAATAATCTTGACTTATCGCATAGTAATAAATTATTAATATCAAAAATGTATTTCTGTTTTTTCCTTTTACATATTTTGTTAAAAGGGCAAATAAGGACTTCAAACCAAAAAAAAGTAATTTTCTGTTTTGTTTTATTCTTGGATCAGGCTTTAAAGGGTTGAATTATTTATATTTATATTTTTTAAAAACAAAGCAGAGTGTGTATGACGTGATCCGCACGTGCCGGCTACCTATTAGTCATCCTGTCAGCTGAACTGCTGCTAGTTTTACTCACATGCTTGGAAGATGTCTAGTGCTACTACCACAGATGATCTCGCTCTCCAAATGGAATTGAACGATTCAGATTAGCTAGAATGAATAGAAGGGGTAGAGTGTAGCCGCCTGTGGCCCGGGCTGCCTGTCACAACTCCATTCTGGCGTACGGATGATGTCATACACACTATGCTTTGTTTTAAAAAAATATAAATATTAAAAATATAACCGCTGATGTCTGGGGCATCTTCCTATAGGAAGACGTTACTTGGATTACAAAACCGAATATCTTCAGAACAGCTCCAAATGACACAAAAATAATATGGGTGAGTAATACATGATGTAATAACGTAAAATCAAGGGGCCAATGTGAAAAAAAAAACGGTGTTCCGCTTTAACATTAGGTAGGAGCATTTAAAACGGTCCATTTGCAGCTAAGTAAGCCTGGACTCATGTTAAAGCCAGGTCTAAACAGGCCCAGTGTTTCCTAAACCTGTTTGGATCTCGTTCACACTTATCTCTGTCGACGTGTGATCAGATAGGGCAGGACACCTGTTAGCACCACGTCGGAACAACCCCCAGGTTATGTACATAAAAAGGGTCAGAAGGTGTGATCGTTCTGCCTCTGGCTTACTCTGCATGTGTACAGAAGGGCAGGGAGGGAGCTGGTTCAAAAGCGCTCCTTGAGCTTTTCATTTCATGCCTGTTTCCCACGGGGCTACATGGAGATACATGAACTTTTTCTCCTCTGATTGCTGCAGAGTTTCGGGCTAATATGTGACTCGGTCGGTCTTGGCTTTACCTCTTCTGCAGTTGTGTTCGCGTCGCTTGTTTTGATGAGTCGTAGGGAAACATCCCTCATTAATTTTGGTTCGATGCCCTGAAAAAGATGCTATCAGTTTAAGGAAACCGGTCGAACTTTTGTTTCATCTTCATAGATGAAGAGCAGTTTACTGCTGTGGTTGATTGATGGCAGTTCTTGGAAAATCTCTCAAGCCGGTTACCTCTGGTGCTCCAGGCATCCGAGGAAATCTGTGTGGATTTTTTTAATTCACCTTACAGCTTACATCCGCTCATTGTGCTTTCATTATTGCAGTCCACCAGTAATGTGTGGATGACCCATGCAGAGATGGAGTCTCTGAACGCCGCCACCAAGCCTCCGGTTAGTGCTCCAGCCGTGTCGTCTTCTGTCTGATTCCCATTTTTATGATTAAAATGAATAATGTTGAGCGTCTGGTCCTGTCTGAAAAATGTTGATGAGTCTCTCCCCTTCCTCCTCTTCTTTCTCTGTATTTATTCCTCTATCCTTCTGTCTCCTCTGTGGGCCCAGGCCATAGTGTTGAGCATCTTCGTCTCTCCCTGTGGTTGCTGTTTCTATGTGAACTGCTTCAAACTAATTACCCGTTCACTAACACACTGTTCCTCACTTTTGTCCTCTTTTCCCGCTGCTGCTGCTGCTGTGACCTCTCCCTCTTCTGCTTCTCTTAATTCACCCTTCCATCCATCCACACCACTTTTGACCCCTGCCTACCTTTTCCCCCACCGATCCACTCGCTCCGTCTTTCTCTCTTTCTGCTTCGTCTTTCCTCTCGGCCTTTCAGGAGCTAAAGGAATTCAGCTGGGATCAGGTGAGAACTGAATCTTTTTTTTTTGGTCAACCTTTTGATAAAGTAAAAAAATGCAAACAACACTTTGCCTATTTGACAGTCCCTTCATCTACAGTGAGTCATGAGCGCTCAGACATAAAATATGAAGTGTGAATCAACGTCGATCATCTGCGCTTGTCCCCCTCCAGATACTGGCCTACGGTGATATGAATCATGAGTGGGTGGGCAATGACTGGCTGCCCAGCCTGGGCCTCCCCCAGTACCGCAGCTATTTCATGGAGTCCCTAGTGGATGCTCGCATGCTGGACCACCTAACCAAGAAGGAGCTGAGAGGACAGCTGAAGATGGTAGACAGCTTCCACAGGTAGAACGTTTTCCCAAACATTTACTGCTGCCTTTTGCAAAGAATGGTGAGGAAAGGTTTATTTTATTCAGCAATTCATCCAGATTTACTTCAGTTCGTTTTAATGATTTAGTCTCACAGCCAAATAAGAGCTGAATTTCAGTTTAGACCGGAGGTCTTCAACGGGGGGTTGACTGAGGTACTGCATGGGGTTGCGAAAGTTTTTGTTGATTAGCCTTTTTTTTTATATTCCCCCCTGCAATTTCTTCCACTAATTGAAATGTCTTTAAATCCACATTAACATGAATTCAACACATTATAGTAAACAGATAAATGGAGGCAGAAGATGTCTTTCAGTCATCAATGCACACATTCAGCGACACAGGAGCTCTTTCAAGCTGGGCACCATTTTATTCACAACACCTGTCCCTTCAACCAGGAATCAGATTTAGAAATACTTTAATAATCCCAGGGAGAAATGACTTTCGTTATTATGGATAGCTTTTCGTTCAATAGTGCGGAAAAAAGTTTTTTCTCCTTTGAAATTAAGTGTTAAACGAAGTAAATAAAAAATGTTTTCCATTTATGTTTTTTTTTTTTTATATTATATAATGGAGAAATCTATGCAGACATACCTGGTATGATGTGAAAAATATGATTGGCCCTTTTTAAATCAAATAAACTCTGATTACCACCCAAAAAAAAAAAGCTTTGGCATTAGTTTGCTTCAGTGACAGGAAATGGGCAGGGACAGAAGCAGGAAGGACCTGTAGCAAAGGGTTTTTAGGTCAGGAGTTGAGACATGATGGTCGTGCCGCCGCCAGGCCTGATCCACTGCCTAGCTTTCAGAATCAACAAATAACGAACAGAACCTGTTTGACATCTTGAGTCCACCTCCTGCAGTCAATCCTATAAAGTTAAAGGCAGCTGAGAAATAAGGTCATTGACGTCTATCAGTCTGGAAACAGTTATAAAGTCATGTTAAAGCTTAGGGACTCCAAAAACCACAGCGAGAGCCATTTTTCACAACTGCTGTGGACCAAAACCAACACAAACAGCTGTCTCAGATTTCCAAGACTTCTAGGAAAATATTCTCTTTAACAACGAGAAAAAAGTGGAACTTTTTCTGAAGTAGAAAACAAACAGAGTTTTAGCAAAGCAACATCATGCCAGCAGTCAAACGTGGTATCAGGGGACCTCGAGCATTCGCTGTTGAAGTTATGAAGTCTGTTTTCTAGCAAAAGATCCTGATCTGAATGTCCCTAAGCTCGAGCTGCAGCAGGATAGTGATATATATATAGGCTGCTCAGTGGCGCAGTGGGTAGCACTGCTGCCTTGCAGCAAGAAGGTTCTGGGATCAATTCCTTTCTGCATGAAGTTTGCATCATGCTATCCCTGAGCATGTGTGAGTTCTCTCCGGGTACTCCAGCTTCCTCCCACAGTCCAAAAACATGACTGTTAGTTTAATTGGATATATATATTCAAATAAAATATCTTTGATGAAGCGAATTAAGTTGAAACTGACTCCCTGATTTATTAAGATGTACTTTTTAAACCTTAGTTGTTTATTTTTCAACCCTCAAACTTACCAGCTGTTGCTTGGCTTTGTGGTGACAATTGACTGCTTGGAGTAGGATCAGATTGAGGTTCTCTGTCAAAAGCTTCGAGTGCTTCAAAGATTAAAAGCGCACCCCTAAGTAACCAGCTTGAACCCGTTTAACCCTCTTGCTCTTTTGACCTTGCCCAGGGTGAGTTTGCATTATGGCATCATGTGCCTAAAGCGCCTGAATTACGACCGCAAGGAGCTGGAAAGGAGGAGAGAGGACAGCGTCCACCAGAATAAAGGTAATCTTTTATGTCATTTTGCTTCACCCTGTTTGCTGGAACTTACATCAGTTGTTGTATTGCTTGAACCTTATTTTAATAATTCTGAAGGCTTACTCTGAGTAATATAAATATACTATATGAGGTAATCAGTTTTACAACATCAATAAAGTGTTTTAAAGCTGTTTAAGTGACCCTTATAAGCATTTCTTTTTAATTTAATATTTTTTTATTTCTCACTTACAAATTTATTTTCCAATATTTTTATCAACATCAATAAAAGATGCTGTAGTAAGTAATTTACCTAATCGGGATTTATATTATTAGATATTGTTTACATCTGTGTGATATTTAAAGAAGTAAAAAATAAAAAATAAATCACCAAAACCTAAATGCTTAAAATTGCTAAATTTTCACGAACTTTAGTAACTACCAAAAAATCCATAAAGGGAGACTTTAATAGGAAATTTAACTTTGGAATTTTATTTTATTTCAACTTAAGTCTCATTTCATCAACAGTTAATTATTTTTTTATGCTAACTGCTAATGTCAATCAAAAGGGGGAAGGAAATAAATCTTTGGAACCAGTTTTTTTTTCTCTCTTAGGGTCTTTTACCAGAAGGCCACTACAAAAAAAGGAAAAGAGATTTCCTTCTTTGTGATTCTGAATCTGCTAATGGTTCATTCATAGACCTGTCTCAGGGTTCGACATTTTTAATTAGGGAACTCGTTAGGTAAGAAAGTAAAATAGTCCTAAAGGAAACCACTTCTGACAAAGAACATATCTTGTTCAAGGATGAAAAACAGAAAGAAAAATGTAAAAAGTAATAATAATTAGGAAAACATGGCAAAGTATTTAGAAGAAACCAAGATTTTTTTTTTTTTTTTATCTGAATCTTGCTGAATGATCAGACCTGCTTCTGAACTTTTTCTGTATATGTAAATTTAAGATTTCTTTAAAGCTGCAGTCTGTAACATTGAGAAGAGAGCAGACTTCGACTGAAAATTTGAAGAAAAACAGGTTTCACGCCACTCCCCCACCCTCTCTGCTTCACTCATGCCCCACCTCCAAGCTCCACCCCTCTCACAGCATCTGCGCGGCTACCGCATGCGACCAGAAGGGGGGGGGGGCGGGATTCAGCGTGTGTGAGCTGTGATTGACACTCCATCATACGCTCCTCTGGCTGTGATTGGTTGTTTTGACTCGTCCCGAATTATTCTTTCCAGATTGAAATACAGGCAGTAGGCGGTACCAATTGAAGCAGTTTTTTTCACAGGTTACATATCACATGTACTGCTGTCTGGGCATAGGTACAGTTTTAGCCAATATGACAAAAAAGTGATTTTTAAAAACTTACAGACTTCAGCTTTAAGAGTTATCATTATGCCTGATTATCCAGAGTGGTCATTGCTTATTTAATAGTAAGAAAAATTGAATAAAAGTTTTCACTCAAGCTATTGCTGCAGATTTAAGTGTCTCCAGGCTTTTATACAATAATTTATATATGATAATTAAATAATAAAAAGACAGATTCAGTGTCATCTTCTAACACAACTGACAACATTAAAAACTATAATTGTTGCTTATTTTCTCACTAAGTGAGCTCTTTTTTTCTTATTACAAGATTGCAAATCATATTTGATTGAATTAAAGATGCCAGGTACAACATTTACAGTAGAATGGTCTTCTATCCTGACAATCCAACATCATAAAAAGAGTATTTAAGATTAGGAAGAGAGGCAGGTCTGGCCAAACCCAACATCTGTCAAGGACGTTCTGAAGGTAACTGAATAAAAGCAGGTGTTGGGTAGTTATGGTTACAACATGTGGTGATTTAAAATCTGTAAGGCAAAAATCGTTTCTGCTTAAAGGTACACTACAGGTGCTGGTCATAAAATTAGAATATCATGAAAAAGTAGATTGATTTCAGTAATTCCATTTAAAAAGTGAAACTTGTATATTATATTCATACATTACATACAAACTCATATATTTCAGATGTTTATTTTGTTTAATTTTGATGATTACAAATGACAACAAATGAAAATCTCAAATTCATCATATCAGAAAATTAGAATATTGTGAAAAGGTTCAAAATTGATGGCCCCTGGTGCCACACTCTAATCAGCTAATTAACTCAAACCACCTGCAAAAGCCTTTAAATGGTCTTTCAGTCTAGTTCTATAGGCTACACAATCATGGGGAAGACTGCTGACTTGACAGTTGTCCAAAAGACGACCATCGACACCTTGCACAAGGAGGGCAAGACACAAAAGGTCATCGCTAAAGAGGCTGGCTGTTCACAGAGCTCAGTGTCCAAGCACATTAATAGAGAGGCGAAGGGAAGGAAAAGATGTGGTCGAAAAAAGTGTACAAGCAAGAGAGATAACCGCACCCTGGAGAGGATTGTGAAACAAAACCCATTCAAAAATGTGGGGGAGATTCACAAAGAGTGGACTGCAGCTGGAGTGAGTGCTTCAAGAACCACCACACACAGACGTATGAAAGACATGGGTTTCTGCTGTCGCATTCCTTGTGTCAAGCCACTCTTGAACCACAGACAGCGTCAGAAGCGTCTTGCCTGGGCTAAAGAGAAACAGGACTGGACTGCTGGTGAGTGGTCCAAAGTCATGTTCTCTGATGAAAGTAAATTTTGCATTTCCTTTGGAAATCAAGGTCCCAGAGTCTGGAGGAAAAGAAGAGAGGCACTTCATCCACGTTGCTTGAAGTCCAGTGTAAAGTTTCCACAGTCAGTGATGGTTTGGGGTGCCATGTCATCTGCTGGTGTTGGTCCATTGTGTTTTCTGAGGTCCAGGGTCAACGCAGCCACATACCAGGAAGTTTTAGAGCACTTCATGCTTCCTGCAGCTGACCAACTTTTTGGAGATGCAGATTTCATTTTCCAACAGGACTTGGCACCTGCACACAGTGCCAAAGCTACCAGTACCTGGTTGAAGGACCATGGTATCCCTGTTCTTAATTGGCCAGCAAACTCTCCTGACCTTAACCCCATAGAAAATCTATGGGGTATTGTGAAGAAGAAGATGCAATACACCAGACCCAACAATTCAGAAGAGCTAAAAGCCACTATTAGAGCAACCTGGGCTATCATAACACCTGAGCAGTGCCACAGACTGATCGACTCCATGCCACGCCGCATTGCTGCAGTAATACAGGCCAAAGGAGGCCCAACTAAATACTGAGTGCTGTACATGCTCATACTTTTCATGTTCATACTTTTCAGTTGGCCAACATTTCTATAAATCCTTTGTTTTTATTGGTCTTCAGTAATATTCTAATTTTCTGATATGATGAATTTGAGATTTTCATTTGTTGTCATTTGTAATCATCAAAATTAAACAAAATAAACATCTGAAATATATGAGTTTGTATGTAATGTATGAATATAATATACAAGTTTCACTTTTTAAATGGAATTACTGAAATCAATCTACTTTTTCATGATATTCTAATTTTATGACCAGCACCTGTATGCAACCGGTGTTGATTTTCCAGCGAGGCTCCCTCCAGAGGGCGAAAGTAAAAGTGCACTGTCGTAAATATGCTCAGCTGTTCTCCTGGTTTCTCCGTCAAGCCAGGCGCGGTTGTTTTGAGCTTAGCAGCGAATGACTAATGCTGCGTTCACACTGGACGTAGCTGGCGCGACAGAAGCAGCGAGTTTACATGCAAAGTCAATAGTTGACGCGCGTCAAGGCGCAACAAAAGGTCCCGCGGCGCGTTTTGAGCACCAGGCGCAGCACGTCTGAGCAGCTGAAGCAGCGCATCGGGCGCGTTTAACGCAGGGAGAGAGACACAGCGCTGATGATCACTCCTCTTAAACAGTTTATTGACGCCTAAATTAACTTAAAATGCAGAAATCTGCTGGCAGAATATGCAGTTTGGATTATTTAGATGAAAAACACCTACCAGCTGCCGCGGTGAACCGCTGCTGATAAAGGGATCCATACTGTCGGCGCCCCGCTGGTATGTGGGGGTCTGAGCGGCTCCGACAGAAAAAATATGGAAGGCAGGATAATAATCTGACTGAACTGACTGCACTGATTACGTTTTCAGGTGTATTTTCTCACTTAAACACATATTAAAACTACTTTATTCCCACTGATCACAGCAAATATAGCTGCAAGGCAGAGAAAGGATAGTGAAGCTCCGCCCAACGCGCGTCAGAGCCACTTTTGCACCGGGCAGCCAGAGCAGCAAAGCTGCTTCAGCCACGCGTCAGAACTAAACTGGTACAAGCAGTAAAAATGAAGCAGCAGACGCGATTTTGCTGCTTTTGCTGCGTGAACGTAGCATAACTGCACAAAGATCGCCACTGTGCTAGCAACGAGAATGCTTTTAACTGGGGGCGTGTAGCAGTTCTCGCCGTAAAGCAAGACTGACTCTCACGAAACTTCTGAGCCTGTGGGTGCGGGTCGGTGCTCCTGCAGTTGCAAGTGCAGTATTTCCCCCACAGACCACCAGGGTGGCCGAGAATACCTTTGTTCAACCTGAAATGACTCATTTAGTCATCCATAACGTTATGGAACACATTAATTAACTGAAAAATGTTGCATAGTGTCCCTTTAAAGAAACTTTAATCTCTACTCAGGCTGAGCTACATCAGTTGATCCTGATGTTTAGAAAGTTGAAAAAAACTGAGGCCGCCTGTCCTTCCTACCCAGATGTGATGGTGTGGTCCAATGAGCGTGTGATGTGCTGGGTCCAAAGCATCGGTCTGAAGGAGTACGCAGACAACCTCCGAGAGAGTGGAGTCCATGGCGCTCTGCTGGCTTTAGATGACACTTTTGACTACACTGACCTGGCCCTGCTGCTACAGATCCCCAATCAGAACACACAGGTGATGGACCTACTGGCCCAAGCAATGGCACGCTTTTTATCCAGAGGCATTACTCACCACAGAACTGCACCAAAAGAAATTAACCACCAAGTCAAACAACTATTTATTATAATGTTGGCATTTTAAAGAAATATTTAATCATATTATAAAAGGTTTCCTCTTACTATCATATTGAGATTAGATACTGGGATTAAAACAATTTCCTCTCCAGCTATATCCCCTTTAGCCATAACCTTTATATCGGGGCAGCCTAAACACCCTATAAGGAATAAAATACTAAAATAAAATACTATAGAAAAAATTCATTGGATTTTAGGGTGTCTATGTGTGCTAACATCTTAAGTCACCATAGAATGTTCTATTTGTTCCATGTGAAATAACCTAATAGATATATAGAAAATTACCCTTAACGTTGATCCCTTACAAGTATGTCCATTGACACCCTCTGTCTACTCTATTAGCACTCAGTAGGTAACTTGCATAGGTATCCATACCTCAGTAGGTATGGATTCCATAGTGGTATTCCATACCTTAGTGGTATTCAGTATTTTCTTGCTATCTGGAAAAATCTTTCGATAAGTGACAGGGTAACAGTTGCTGGTAAATCTTAAAGCCTTCATAGGCATCCTGTAGGAACCTCAAGAAGTACCCTCTAAGTACCTATGTAGGTACAACCAAACTATCCTGTAGTTGACCTAAAAAAAAAAACTAATAGCTACCCATTAACTACTCTATGTATTCATATAGAGGATGTAAAGGAACTATCTAAGTACCCTTTAAGGGTCTCTGTAAGAACCTGTGGGCTACCCTGAAAGTCTAGTGGTGTGGAGTACCTCAGGGCTGAATATTTGGCCAATTTCCATTTTTATTAGTGCATTTCCGGAAATGCACTAATTTTGGAATATTTCTCAATATATTATAAAGCTTTATTTGTTGTGCTGGTGTTATAGAGCTAGTACCTGATGCTAGGTAATCTTTGAGTTGTTGAAAACCGGGCCCTATCACCCAAAAAGGGAGTAAAAAAAGAAGAACTTGATAAACATTTGTTTTTCATTCTAGAAATCATGGTATTGCTTCCAGAAATTTGGGTTAGAGTTTTATTTTAGTGAATTGTATAAACAGTCATTTACAGGTTCAAGGAATTTAGAGCTTTTGTGATTTCTTTGCAGGCTAGGCAGGTTCTGGAGCAGGAGTACAACTCCCTAATCTCCATGGGAACTGAGAGACGACCTGATGAGGTCAGAATTTTTGATAAAGTAATGAAGGCACAAGTTTGCATGAGTATCTGTGTTTTTGTGTCACTCATTCACTGTCATTCTGGGCAGGATGGAACAAAGACGTTTACCCGCTCGCCCTCCTGGAGGAAGATGTTCAGGGAGAAAGACCTCCGAGGTGTGACCTCCGACTCTGCCGAGACGCTGCCCGCAAATTTCCGTGCCTCAGCCATTTCCACCCCCTCCGTTACCCTGAGAAAGGTTCAGAGCGATGGTGAGTCTGACCTTTGACTTCTTGACACTTTAGCTCTCATGTTAAACCCATCCTCGAGGCTCATCAGGTTTTTAAAAGCTTCTACTTGATTTTGTTGAGTTTAACTCACAAAAAGCGCATGTCGGGAATCAGGGCAAGTACAGTCACTACATGCTGTATGGGAAGGCTAAATGTAAAACCTGTTTTTTATGCTACTCTGCTATTAGCTCTAACCTTATTAGCTCTAACTTCCCCCTTTAGCAGAACTGACAATAACAAGGTGCAGACTCCTCAAAGTACACAGGAATGCTATAATACCTCCTTTAATACCTCTAGAAAGGTCAATGCTGTTACATTAATAACCTTGTGTGTCTGTCTCCTGGTTTCCAAAGTAGCCAGCTCTGGTGCCCGGGGTGAATCTGCCTCAGTGAGGACGTACTCCTGTTGAGCTGCTGAGGTGAGAACACGTCAATTAAACAGCCTTAACAGGGTTACTCCTGCGTGTGGGCGCTGACTTCTGTGCTTATGGCTTCCACATGTGTCGAGCAATGCTCTTTGAACTCTGTTTTATGCATATGTTTGCAGTAGTTGACTTGTTTTAGTCTGGGATTTTAGTACATTCCCCTGAGGTCTTAGATTGTGGTTGGTTTAGATTTACAGTTGCTGTCAGAGATTTATGTAATCTTGTCCTGGGCATTTGTGTTAACATTAAATTTGAGCTTTAAATGATATACCTCTTGCTAAAGCTAAGCATTAGCGTCAGCTATTCTCTTTTTTTAGGTGGAGTTTATGGTAATAGAAGAAAATGTAATGCTTCCTTTGCAACAAAATGTTTGGTGCTCAAGCTGGGAATTATTACAGCACTTTTGATGAATATTTGACCAATCTAAGCAGACTTGGTGCCGTTCACTTTGTTGCATGAACCACGGCTTTAAAGTTGTAGGGAGATCATATTTTATTGTCAACTAATACTGGCTTAAACGTTTACATAAATGGACTCTTTATCAGATGATATTGTCACAAAACTTAGAAAATTTCTGTTTTAAAAAAAAATCCTGCCTTAAAATCTGCTTTGTTTTGTTTTTTTTCGTTATCATTAAGTTATACGTCAGCCTGGACACCTAAATTCGGCCAATCATATATCAACGGTCATATGTCAATAAAATGTTTTTGGTCATAGCATCTTGATTCATATGTCGCAGCTAATATACGCAACGGTTGAAATAAGATATAAGACTCATTTACTTTCCCATTGAGTTCCGACCCCGGGGATGGGCGTCTGTGTCTTCGGCAGGCATAGAGCTAACAGAACTGGTAGCGTTGCAAGGCAAGGGCTCAAACATGTACGCCTCTAAGCCTTCTACACCAAACCAAGCTTCTGCCGCCCTGGCGTCCTCTTCCACAAACTTCGTGCCTGCTTTCCTCCTCTAAATAAAAAATGTATGACAGAGGAGACTCATCCGTGACCTCCAAAACAAACCCTCCTCCTCTTGCGTGTTTCCACTGACCATAGCGTTCCTTGACTGTGTCGTTTCTAAGTCACCAATTTAGCGCTACTTGGTTAATTTCCCATTGGGAACCTACTAGCACTAATTTGCTAACTGGTTAGCAAGATGCCCTTGAGATACCGACCACAACCAAAAGTGCTTGCGAACCGTCCACCACAACAACCCCGCCCTCTTGATAAACGGCCGATCAAATTCACTTCATTCACTCGTGTAAAGTCGTGCACAACTCGGGAGAATCCGGAAATGCAAAGGTTAGAACATCCATTTGCCTTTGACATTAAGGACTCTGCACAAACTTTGAGTAAAGTCAAAGTTTGTGTTTTGAGGAGACTATTCCAGAAGTGAACGTTTAGCCATTTAGTGAATGTTTGGTATCATTGTTCTGTTAAAATATCCAGTTGTGTCCAGGTCTCAGCTGTCATACCTGAACTTTTCCCATCGCTCTAAAAGATTGATTGGAAAATACAGAAAGAAGGCAGGAACCAGACGCAGAGGTCCTCTGGAGGGTTTTAGTTTCAGGTTACAAGAACTAAAGTATTTAGAGATAGTGATAAGAATTACAGATTAGTCATTGTGGCGTTCTGACCCAAGATTATAGATCGTTATGGTTGCAATCTGATGCCTTACTTGATGTCAGTTGGATGGTCTTGGAGGAAATCCTTGAAAATTAGGCCAAGTTTTATGTTTCTTACAATAATTGATCAAAAAGAAAAGGATTACTCTGTCTGACATCAAAGTCCTGACTAACTTACTGATGTTTCTCTCCTCAGGGCTCCAACTGGTTTGGGACTGAAGGACCCTCTCACTCATCAATGAAGAAGGAAGCAATGACTTTACTATTTAACCTAAAAGTAAACCTGGCCATTCTGCAATAACAGTAGCGAAGGAAAAGAAAGGGGAAAAAGACATGAAGAATGTATGAAACAGTTCTCAGATTTAGCAATTTGAATCAGATCGGCTGTTTTCTCTCTCCGTCTCTCCCTCCGCGTCCTGCATTGTCGGGTGACTAAAGGACAACGCCGGCGGTGGTTAGGCCTGCAGTCAGTCTGCCAAGGGTTCATTTTCCCACCTTCTGAGGATAACCTCCCTCTGCCGTTTATCTTCTTACACTTTCAAACATTTGAACCCCCGGCTCCACAACAAGGACCATGTCGGAAACCAAACGCATTGTTATGGTGGGATTCAGAGGGTGTTCAAACTTTAAAGCGATTCTGGGAGACAGATAGATGTGTCAGATGCGACACTGGTGCTCCTTTTTCCACTGGTGTCCAGTTTCAGCCACCGTGGCCCTTTTTGTTGGCCTCTACGGTCCCCACCAGGATCGGGTGGAGTGGTTTAACTCTTCTGAATTCAGACCACCATTTATGTCCAACCACATCAGAGGTCCATTGTCTTTTGGCACCTTGAAAGGAGATAGTGCTCTCTTTTGAAGAGGAATCAAAGGATTACAATTGGAGGGAGCGAATTTGGTCTGCATCAGGAAATAAGTTTTAACACAGATGGTACCAGATGCTTTTACTAGTTATCTTCAAAGTATTTCTTTTATGACCCTTCAATTAAATTTTTTAAACTCCATCTGAGGGGAATTTGTGTAAAATAAAGCCTTAAATAGACTATTATTTAGCTGCAGTAGCACATCCAACTGAACAATTAAAAATCCAATATTCTATTTTGTTCCCCTGCAGAAATAAATACTGGCATGCCATGGATCCATCTTTGAAATAGGAAAAACTAGAAAACATGCCATTTAAATAAGATACATGTTGCTTGAGCCTTATAAGCCTAAACCTGCTTGTACAAAACAAATGGAACTGGGATGAAACCACTTTGTTTCATAGCCGCACCCAGTGAGCAGAATGGTCTCAAAAACGTCCCAATACATGCAGTAAAAAGTTGCCTCTAGGGGTAGGGTTCCACGTCTCGATAGCAACCGTTAGTTGACATCTGCATGCCAACTAGCTGTTTGAGCGTTATTGTGTTTTTCCTGCCGTCTTATAACAACTTGAAGATGATAGCTACAAGTTTAACTCTACCAGGCCAGTAAGTGGGACCATCGCCCACTCTGGTTCTGTGTGGTTTGCGAGCCGGTTGCCAGGTCTGTTGATGCTAATGCTTAGCTTTAGCAAACATTTGAGTTGCCTCCAGAAGGAAAGCGGCAGACAGCTGAAGAACATCCGAGACATTCTGTGGATAAAAACTAAAACGTTTAAACTCCCATTGGAGCTTTTTCATGCAACCCTTCCTGTCTGCACTTCATACTGTACCCATTGATAAGCATGGTGGACGACACTGCAGTAACATTTTTTGTTCAAAATATCAAAAGTTTTGAAATTGAAAATCGTATAAGCTCCATCATTAAACTGAAAGTAGTTTTTTTTGGCCAAATCCACACAAAAAGGAAAGTCTCTTTAAATCCTCTCATCATAGGCTACTCCGATTAAAAACTATTAAAAAAAATGTTACTCATCTTTACCATGGCTGGCAAGCGTAGCTTTGTTTAGGAGAACTTACTGAAGTAAAAGTAGAGCAACTCTAGGATGTACACTCTTTTTGATATACCGGTATATATATATATATATATATATATATATATATATATATATATATATATATATATATATATATATATATATATATATATATATATATATATATATATATATATATATATATATATATATATATATATATATATATATATATATATATATATATATATATATATTGCTCAATACAAAGACATCAAAAGCAAGTACGTTTTATATAGAATAACAAATGAAAAATGAAAAGTTATAGCAGTATTATTATTTCTGAAAGGAAACTCAGGACAAAAGAACTAAATATTTCCTAGAGTTACTTCTATTAAAAAGACCTGAAACTGATAAGTAAAGGTTTTATTTTCTTTTAGCTCTCCTTACTATATTTATGATTTATTCTTTAATGACATTTTGTTTTGAAACAAAATTTTAGCTTCTTACGTAATTAGATGGCTCTAATTGTGACATTTGAGCCATCTAATAAAAAGCTTAATTACTGGAAATTTAAACATGCCTTATTTAAATATTTTCAATATTTATGTATTAGTTGATAAATTAGTTGGATTTTTTCCCAAAACGTAGGTTGATTCGGTGGATGAAAAAGCAGTGGCCTGGGGCTTCGCCTGGGCATCAAAGTGTGGGATCCCCTTCAGATAAATAAATAACAGTTTAAATGTTATTTATTGTATGTCTCATTAGGGCAACATAGAAAAAAAATCAAGAATTTATAAATTAGTAACAGACATATTGACTGTTGCTGGGGTTTGTTCTGTTATTCCGCCCCTATATACTTAGAGTTTTTAGCTACAGTACAGTTTGAACTTCTGCCCAGTAAGTGCTGCTCTCACAATCAGCCGCTCTCATTGTGAACTGCTTGCACACCAATTGCCAGGACAGCTAATGCTAATGATACCAATGTCAAAAATTTAATTTTCATTTCATCCATCCATCTTACCCCCTTATCCGGGGTCGGATCTCGGGGGCAGCAAGTTCAGTAGGGAGGCTCAGATGTCTCTCTCCTCAGCTACTTGGGCCAGCTCCTCCAGGGGAACCCAAAGGCGCTCCCAGGCCAGCCGAGAAAAATAGTCCCTCCGGGGTCTCCTGGGTCTCCCCCTGGGCCTCCTCCAGGTGGGATGTGCCTGAAACACCTCACCAAGGAGACGTCTAGGATGCATCCTAAACAGATGCCCGAGCCACCTCAACTGGCTCCTCTCGATGTGGGGGAGCAGCGGCTCTACTCTGAGTCCTCCCCGGATGACTGAGCTCCTCACCCTATCTCTAAGGGAGAGCCCAGAAACACTGTAGAGAAAACTCATTTCATCCGCTTGTATCCGGGATCTCATTCTTTCAGTCATGACTCAAAGCTCATGAAGGTAAGAACGTAGATCAACCGGCAAATCGAGAGCTTTGCCTTTTGGCTCAGCTCTCTCTTCACCACAACAGAGAAGTGGAAACCTCAGTGTGCCTTCTGAGCTCCTTTGCTTTCTAAAGTCGGCACCAACTCTTAAAAGCTCGACAGATGTTCACTCTCGTTTTGCTTCTTTTTTAGTTGTCTTGAATCTGAAAATCTTGAATTTGGAAAAAAAATGTATTTCAGTGAAGAAAAAAAACACTTTTTTCTGCTCCACTCTAGATATTCTGTGGATTTATTACTTTTATAGAAATTTGTAGTTTCAATGAAAAAGTTGCAGGTATTATCTTTAATCAATGGATGAAGTCACGACTGTTTTATTGGAAGCAGAGGCGTTTTGGAAACAGATTTATTTCAATAAGCAAAGCCGTATGTGTATAAAAGGGTCAACTTTTTATGAAGGGAAGTTGATTGTTATAAGATGTGCTGGATTGTTTTAACCGTTAAAGAATTGAAACCTTAAGCGAGCATTTAACTCTTCAGCTTGGAGCTTTTTGATCCTCCTGATGCAAACGGAGCCGAACGGGAGACAAAAACAGTCGATCCGAGAGGAAGAAATAGGAAAAGGAAGGTGGACAGAAGCCGGTCATTTTACTGCACCCACAAGCCATAACAGAAAGGAAGAGCTCTCTGGGGAGGAGGAGACATTAGAGAGAGGGCAACCTGAGGAAGCCCAGAAAACGAAACCTTTAGCCTCTGTGTTTACGATGCATGTCCAGTAACGACGATGACCTAAAACAAAATGTTTTTTTCTTTGGTAATGAAGATGATATGAGGTGTCGTCGAAACAAAAATATATATCTCTATGCTAAACCTACAGGGTGGGGTGGGCTGAGGGGGGGTAACTGGGGGGAATCAAATTTGTAAGATGTGTGTATTTTTTTCAGTTGTATTTTATTATTTTTTTTACGATAACTTTATTTTCTTCAGGTATGTATTGGATAAATGTCTGAACTTGTTCGGTTTCGTTCTTTGCTTCGTTTGGACGAGTTTCAAGAGTAAATATCAGACATTGGAAAAAATGTCCTTCGAATACGTCGATGTGTACATTTTGAAAACAACTTGTGCAACGATTAAACAGATTTCCATGATTCCAGTGTCAGAAAATATCTGAAAATATCAACAAAGAAATAATATCAGTGATGATGATGAAAATGGTGATGTAAAAGAAAAAAATAAATAAAGCAATCCAGGTGGATTTATGAATAGTAACGCAGTTTGTTCTTTACTGGGGGGGGTTCAGGACTTTTATGAATTATCCTCTGAGTGCAAAGAGGCTTTTATAATATTATGCAGACTGAGCACATGCCGATTAATTAATTTTTAAAGATTTGCTCATGTAAGAAGAGGTCCTTATAAGGGAGAGGATGTTTCGTTTGTCAGCATAGCCACATAAGCTCTGATGTAGCTATGAAGTTGAAATCACTCTATAAATCTGTAATTTATTGTCTTCTTGTATCAGCAAAGATTACCTGCAACCGTCATCCCTTCTTAGCGAAGCATCCAGCCAAGAATCACTTCTCTGGGTCTTTAACAAGATATAATGATGGACGCTTCAGGACATCCAGCTCCGCCGAAGCTGCAGAATGGTTTGCCACCAGTTCAGGGCAGAGGAATCATCTCTTTTTCAAAGATAACTAGAAAACTAACATTTAATACTGTTGAGCTTTTCTCAAATGAAATTGTTCTGAAAGTGCATATCTAAACCTGCTGTAGACCTACAGGTAAATTCCACTAATGATTGTTTTGTTTGTTATCTGATCTGATTTTAAGCAAACGAGATATACCATAGCAGCAACAAAATCAAGGTGGACTCCTGTGAACTTAACATATAAAATAACTGCAGTCTGAAGAGTTTCATTAAACTTTAAAAAGCCTTGTGTTGCCTTCCAAGTTTTGAAAAGGACATTTAAAGGCTGTCATGTGACACTTTAAGTCTTCTCAGCCTAATGCGTCTGTTTTGGCCCAGTTCTAGGTGTGAATGCATCTACTGTAAAGCAAGCAAAGAGATTTGGACTAGGAGACTTGGAAAGAGGCCACCTTTACCTCTGCAGTCAGCACAAAGATGGAAAATAGAAGATTGATTAGGGATTACTCTTTTCTTCTGATATATCCATATCTCCTCTTAAAAAAAATGTATTATCTTCAGGAGAAATAAGTTCAACTACAGGTTTTATCTTCCTGATCTACTCAATAAAACGTAAAACATTGGATCAAAACATTTTGCAAAAAAAAAAAAAAAAAAAAAACATCCTTCTCCAACAGTCCAGTGACAGTTTTATTGGACGTTCCATTACAACTGAGCGCCCTCTAAAAAAAAAAAAAATCTCAGTAACTTAATTTACTTAAAATAAGTGCATTTTTCTTCAATTGAGCAGGTAAATGAGACACTTTGCCAAAGGAATAAGATAAGATACATTTAGAATAAGAAAATAACGACTGCACTTTTATTTAAAGTGCATAATAGGAGAAACAGTTAAGGGTTAATATGCTTAAATTTTTACTCATTTCCAGAAAGTTTTTGCAGTGTTGCATGTGAAAAGGAAAAATGACGGCAAACAACAGAAGGTTTAAACCTTTCAAACTTGAAACTAGTCAGTAAAACTAACCATTGCCATCTCCAAGCTCTGGAAAAAAATAAGAATGTGTCACCATCTGTCAGGATTTGGATCAGAAGCTGATAGATGTGAAACTCTTTAAACCAATAATGCATTTGGAAAACAGTCTTTAAAACTTACAAATTTTATCATTCTTCCTCGGTTACCTTTAAAATTTACCTGGTATAAAAACTTTAAATTCTGGACCTTAGCAAAAATCATTTCAACATGTAGTGGAGGTAAAAAAAATAAAAAATTTTTAATTTTTTTTAATTTTTAATTTTAATTTATTAGTGTTTAATGCAAATATGTGCAAATAATGGTTCAATGTGTTATTGGTATTTTTAAAGCCAACATATTGATCTCAGTGTTTATTTTATTAATGTGATAATAAAAGTATTGCAGAACATTGTGGCAATATTCCAGCTATCAGATTAGTCAGAGGGGCGTGGCTTATGCTGCTATAGAGGAAGCAATAGGTCTGAACAGATCAGATCATAACAGGATTCTCTATCTGTGTAGCAAAGAAGATATTAAATTGTTTAATTCTTGTGATCTTTTTGGTCTTTGGTTTGTTTTAATATAAATATTGATTTACAGAAAAGTTTTCCTTTTTTAATATAATGAAGTCTACATACAATGGAATGGAAACAAATGGAAATATGTCTGGTATTGATCTGAGCTCTCTGGCTGTTCAGGTTCATCAGAGAACAGGCCTGGCCTAAGAAGCTCTCTGATAGCTGGTTTATGAACAACACTCTGTAGCCCCATCTGGATTCAGTTCATTCCTTATTTTTAGGATCCCTCATGTTTTTGTTCGTTCTTGTGTTCACTTTCAGCAGTCGTCTGTTGTGGTGATTTTCTGTGGATGTTACCACGAGCTCTGTTTACCTAAATCACATCTCCTGTTGCTTCTATTTTTTTATTTGGTCACCTTCTAGTTAGAATCTCGGTTCATCATTTTAGGTAGAGCAATGTTTCTGATTGGTTTTGTTTTCTGGTTCCATGCTTCCCTGATTCTCTCTACACTCTTCACCATTTATCTCCTATTTTCTTAACTTAACCTTGGTTACCTCAGGGCTGATAGTATTCTGCTAATTAGACCCATCTGTGCTCACCAGTAATCATACTTCCCAGTATTAAAGTCTCTCAGCTCTTAATCAGCTGGATTCTCCTGTTGTTCTAGTTCTACTTCCTGTTTGGATAACATATTTTCATTTTGTTTAAACTTTGACTTGCCATGTGTCACTCTGTCCTTCTGTCATTTTTTTTTCCAAAGACAATAGTTTACAGAAAAAAGTTATTGGAAGTTTTAAGGAATTATTTTGATGTTTTAAATGAATATGTTATGTGGAGCTCTGCAAGATGCTCAGTCATACAGGTCATAGTCATCCCAAAAAAAAAAAATCCACTGAATTTTGTTTTCAAGTTTGAGGACATTTCGCTTCCAATCCAGGAAGCTTTTTCGATCCAAAATGTCAGAATTAGCGTAGAGTTAGAGTGGACCAAAACAATGCCTTGTTTTGGTTAAAAACATGCAAATTGAACCGCAAAAATGGGTCCGCCCCTTAGGAATAAGGAACGATTCCTTCCCGTTATAACAACCCCCATACAGAGGAACCGAAACCCCCCCCCCCCCCCCCCCCCCCCCCCCCCCGTTCAGCCAGGCCAACAATTTCCCCTAACAACCCCCTTTTCAGAGGCATAGACCAGTATCGGGTATTGCAGGCTAACAAATAACCAAAACAACTCCTCATTCCTCGAACCCGTTCTTCCCGTTCAATTTGCACGTTTCCTAAGCTAGGAATTTGTTTTTAGATATTTCTGACATTATGAATTGAAAAAGCTTCATGTAAACAAAGTCCAGTGGATTATCTTTTTTTACTTTTTTGGAACTTGCCCAGGTATGTATCTGAAGATGCGGATGACGATTAAAAACAATATATAAGACTAAATTAAAGGCATATTACAGTGAATAAAAACATATAATGAACGCTGGGGATGAACCCTTCACCAAATCATGGGACTTTGATTGATTCCAGCTTGAGTGTCATCCTTTATGGTTTATCCCTGAAGCAAATCTATCCAGTGGGATCAATGTTGTCTTGGTCCGATATATAGACTTTAATATTACAAATATTTGAAAACCTTTGAATAAATAAAAAAATAATGTCACATTATTGATCTATTGGGAAGCAGAGGGCTGCCATTATGCTGCGCCTTGGTAGCAGTGTGGAGTTAAGGGGTCTAGCTGAGGGACCCAAAGTGCAGGCTGTGGGGATCGAACCAGGTACTTGCAACCTTCTCAGAGCACAAGCGCACTGCTCTAACCACTAGGCCAACACCTCCCTCTTGCTTAAATTGGTCAAAAGAACATGGCTCTATAATTAGTTTATAATTACATAAGACTAGATAAACTCCTAACATTGCTGCATCATTAAAAGATCAAGCCAGGTAGTATGACTTTATGAAGTTCTTACACTCTGGTTGCATACAAAGTCTTTCTGATTTAATTATTGCACCAAGTTGGTTTATTATATCTTGTTTTGTGTTTACACTTTGTTTTTGTTCTTTTGGGTAAATTAATATACACTTGCGCATAATGAGTAAACAAGAAAGAGAACCAACAGGAGAAACAACTAAGCTACGTAAATCCGTAACGAAGTGGAGGTACCGACAGAAAGGAAAAGTTTAAGATCAACTGTTAAAAACACTAAAGAAATATTTACTGCCAAGAACATTAAGACACAAGAAGCTCTGAAATGTACAATATGAGGCTGAAGCTGGAACTCAGATTTCGCTTCTCAGAAAGTAGTCGGCAAAATGGTCCTCAACCGTGTTCATGTCCGATGACCACGCCCCTTCAAAAACCCTTTCATCAAAAAGGACTAAGTAAACACTATTGGGATGAATGCTTAGTATTTATTGTTCGATCTGAAAAAAAATAGGTTTTTCTATGTTTTCATAGTCGTCATGGTGCATGACTAGACATGTTTAAGGTCTTTGCACTAATTACCCAGTTATTTACTCCCACATTCCTTTAGTGTAAGCGATCCAGATCCCTGCAGGTCCTTCATCTGTGAAGCAACTTTCCCTGAGACCCAAGGCAGCTCAGACCACTTATGGTCTGAAAAACGATCTTTATAATAATCTGCATGGTCTACGGTAGCTTGAATTCCTTCGTAACTTCACTTTATCTGAAGATTATCTGCATTTTTAATTACTTGTATTTCAGCTCTCTGTGCATGAAAAGTTTTTATAACTGATGTGCAATTAAAGATTGCATAAAATTTGTTTAAAAATATGTCACTGGATTTTTGTATTTTTAATATTTAGTAATTAGTTATTAATGTATATATTTTAGAAAAGCATCTATAGTTATGCATAATTCTGAAATCTTTTATTATATTACTCGTATATACGTTTTTATACCATTTTATTCCTATTAAAATCTAAGAATACATTATCATTATCATTTAATGAAAGCCATCACCACGTTTAGTCATTTCAATAATTTAGCAGCTATTCCCAGTTTGCATTTTAAAAGGTGCATTTTCTCCTACTTTAAAGAATAAAACAAACAAAAGATATTTTGAATACAAATGCATCAAAGCTGCACTTAAATAATCTACATACAAATTTCTTTTATTATCATATGTCATCAGATCTTCTCTAGGTGCCACATAATTTACAACCCAGGCGGGTCCCACAGAAGGAACCTGTAACATTCACCCACAGCTGTAAGAGTTAGGAGCAGGGAAATGGAATCTCAGTAGGTGGCGCTCTTTGCTTTCAAAAGGTGGCGAACCAGAGGCTGGAATTATCATTAGACACCAGAGAGAGAGCTACAACTGCATAAAGACGTCTTCTATAAATACACACTGAGATACAGAAAAAGGTATACTGGTTTCATGTTGTGGACACATCAGGAAATATATTAATATCAAAGACATGCTTACATACTAGTCAAAAATAACTTAGGTTATGAAAGATAAAACATACAAAAACAGTACTTCTTGATGTAAAATGTCTATGTAACAGTTTTCTCTAAAAATATCTAGCATTGAGGTCTTCTTGTTTTCTGGTAATAGTCATAAAATGGAGGAAGGAGACATTTGAAAATGTGTGGACAGATAATGTCTGAGCTGCTCTGCCGTCCCCTCCCTTCCTTGCTTGTATTAGACTCTCCCCCGTCTCGGCAAGACCTCCTTCCCCCCCTTATTAGTTCTGGAAAGCAGCACGCAGACGCAGGATGAGTCTATTCGGATCCACCTCCATCCCATCCTGTTGTTGGCGTCCTTGGAGAGGGCCCGGACAAACGACTGCCTCGCTTTGCACATGCTCTTCCACTGTTTTGTATCCACGCCCAAGCAGCCGGCCCCAGCCACGCCCGTCCCCGCGGATCTTGACCCCCCTTCGCTCGTGATGCTTGACCCGCTGCGCTGATCGGCCTGGCGGCACCGGGTCTCATAGAAGTACTGTTTGAGAGATCCAGTCTGCGTCTGGATCTCCTGGAGGATGGTGACCTCCTTGCCGTAAGTGTCTATGGCGGTCGTTTTGTCGGTCACCCAAACGCTTTCCGACTCGCACACAGACTTCTCGCCCCTCCGGCTGTCGTTCTGGGGTGACCGCTTGTTCCGTTTAAAAGGACGGTCCTCGTCCTTTCTTCTGGAGTAGTTTGCCCAACTTGGAGTCGTCGTGCTTCTGTCGTTAGCTCGGTCGCCATGGCCCTCGATGCGCCCGTCCGCATCCTCCTGCTCCTCTAGTTCTCCGCCTTCCTCGTCCGTCAGGCCATTCTCCAACATCAGCAGGAGCGGCGGATGCTCTGGAGGTGATGGAGAGGGTGAGAAAAGGACTCTGGGGTGAGCGTCCAGAAACATCTCATCTATCTCCAACAGGCTTTCCATCCCGACCCCCAGACCTAGCCCAGCCTCCAGGGTCAGACCGTCCTCACCAGGAACCATTGTGGCTCCTGTACTGGATGTCGATGTGTCTCTTAGTTGCCCTGAAGGAAGCAACGGTGTACCCGTAGAGTCCTGTTGGGCCATTTTTTTTGAGAACTCCAAAACGCCGGAGTCCTCCTTCCTGCTGGCTTTGTAGTCCTTTGGTAGAGACTTATCCTCCGGAGATTCCTCAGTCCTGAGTGGTTCCAGGCTGATTTTGTCCCTGCTGGCTGAGCTGCTAAAAGTTTTGTAGGCTATCTGATCCTCCCCTCTGGATGTGGAGGTCTCTCTATGAACTGAGAGATTAATGTAATCTTTTTGGCTTTTTCTGCTGCTGTCTGTTCGAGAGGCATTTCCTCCAAGGCCGTAGTCCAAAGACGGAGCCGGGAGGAAGGAGGCCGGGTCACGGCGGTGCTCTCTGCGGCTGCCTGAGCCGGGCTGCGTCGTCGCGGGGTTATGAGGGAAGGGCAGGGCCGAGGCGATCACCATGGCAACCAGGGGAAGCCAGTGCATCACTCCCAGGACGTATCAGCTGGCAGACAGAGAGGAGAGAAGGCGTTATTTCATACAGTGCAAACTGTAGCTTTTCAAGTTAAACAAAGAGCCCCAATTAAGAATGTAAAAAGAGGTTTTATTGGTGGCCCTGCAGCTTTATGGCTGCAGAGCTTCAACTGCTGACGTATGGGTTTAAAAATCTTGGCAGAACCTGTGGAAAAAGTAGAACCAAGTACAGAGAGATCGCACTTATTCTTCATGTGGAGCCCAGGAGGGAATGATGCAGAATCTGCTGAATTAGGAACTGACCTTCAAACAGAGATGCGGTGTGCATGCAAGTCAGTCATTACAGCTACAGAAGGTGGATAAAAGCAAGCAAGAATCAAGAGGAAACAAATTACTGCTTTGATAATCTAGGGGTTAACTTTACCCTATAATAATAATAATTACTATTCAGTTTTTACACAAATTAAATACTAAAGGGTTTCTTTTCTTCCTAAAGGTGATAAGAAACGTAGCATCTTTACCAAAATATCTGTGAGTATTTCCTTTGTATAATAGGGGCAGACTTTATACCAAAAATCCCTAAAGACATTAAAATGTTAAGTAAATATTATGGTTGTGAAGGAAATTTGACAGATGAGACCAACTGGGAAATATCTGGGTGGAAAAAAAAAAAAAAAACAGCAATCTGCATAACGACCAGACGACCTTCTGTTTGAAAAGGTAAACTCCTGACATATTTATCCAAGTTAGATTAAGGATGAGGCTCATAAATGCAGCATTAAGTCTGCAACAAAATTACCCTAAACTGTAAATCTGGGACCTTTTCCAGAAACATTAAACATTTGGACCAAAGCTGGTAAGATATTCTTTTAGCTTAAGCGCAAAAGAAATAAACAAACCTTTCATGATTTGAACTAAGTGGTGAAATTTTTGAATTATTGTAGATCCCAAACATAAAAACAACCTCAAATTATTTAATTCTTGGAAGCCTGGGCCAAAATTCCCCCTCAAGTGACGCTACAGACAGAAAGTCACAAATAAATTATTAGTTATTACAAAGTTTTACATTAATTGTTCCAAAAACAAAGGAGTAACGTCAGCACCTTGCTGTCAGAATTAAGGAGTTGCAATGTAACAGGATTTTAATAACATCTATCAACAAGATATAGATAAGAGGAGATAAACCTCAGGTATCCTTCCTGAACTCACCCGGGGGTGATTTTTGTTCTTCTTTGGAAAGGTAATGACTGATAAATTAGATTGAGTTTCCCGTTATTAAGAGATGGAAACGTAAATAACCTACATGCCATAACCTGCATTGTTCAAACTGCGAGCTCACTGTCGTTCCAAACGAAATTAGATGTAAACTTCTCCTGAATGGGAAGAGACCTTTTAACCATTGGGAATCGTGTGTGAATGAAATCAAGAGTAATTAGGCATGCAGAGATGATTCATCCGAATTTCAGCATGAGGTTGCCCTCTGACTAACAGGACAAGTGTTCCAGTCACCCCGTCCTTGTGGCAGTTAGAATGGGCTGGCATTCAGGCGACGCAGCAGTCGACGTAAGAGCGGATTTGGTTATTTGTTTGCGAGCAGAAAAGGCTGAAATCGGTGGAATGATGGGAATGTCAGCGATGCATAACTTAAGTGGCTCATTCATAGTTTCCTCGGGCATTTGGAAGACAAAAACATAAAAGAAGGCAAATGTGAAAATAAAAGGAAAAGACGTTTCATGACTGAGGGTGTTTATTTCCTTGCGGCTGTTTGAGAGTGACTGAGTGGATGTTTCATTGCTGGCTTTTAGCAGCGAAAATCTCCCTCAGTGACGGGCCACGCCCAGAACACAACGCATCTTACAGTGGGGGAAGGACCAGGTTCGCTCCACTCATAAGTCACCCATCCAGTCACCTTGGGTGCTCCAAGTGCTTTTTAATGCTGACAGTAAATCACATCAAAGTGCTGCAGCGCCCTGAATGATGGCAGGAAAAGGAGCTTGCCAAATTTCTCCTGTGATGAAAGAAAAATTTGCATGTCAAGACCAACTGTTGAAAACTGTTTAACAGTGTAGAAGCATGCAATTTGGATGGCTGTAAACCAGGGTTCCTACATTTTGCAGCTAGAAATTTTTGCATTTTTCAAGTTTTTTCTTTTATGATTTGGAAATAATATGAAAAATGACTGCCCAATAGGAAATACTTTTATTTCTTTTTTCTGATAAGGTCCACATATTATAGATGATTATTCGACTGCATGGTGACTTCTGTATAGTAACTTCTTCTACTATATGGTGACTGTCCTACGTCACAGTGGTTGGTTTTATTTATGCTATTTGTTAAAAAAATATAAAATTACAGTTCAAGATCCTTATCACAGATTATTTTAAAAAAAATGTGACTATGTTTTTTATATTATTTTGAAAAAGTGTATCTTTGTATCATAGATTCATCTTAAAGGGAATTCTGATTCAGCCAGAAATTCTTAATTAGATTTAAATCTGTACTTTAACTAGGCCGTTTTCACATGTAACAAAGCTTTTCTCTCATAAAATTTTAGAGCTGGAAGTTTGTTTACCATCAGCTCGAAGGTTAACTTTCTCTCCAGCTTATGTACTTTACAGCCCCCTGCAATTTTTCTTTTACGATTTCTTCATTTATTTTTCTACATTTTTTCCCAACCAGGTTAATCATCCTCTTCCTGCTTTTTTTTATTATTTGAATGTTGTAAAAACATCCACTTCTTTTTTGTATCTGCACAAAAAATCTATAAACTCTAAGATGGGATTACACCACACTATAAATATTCTTTAAAAGCAGAAGATGCTAGTTTTTTACTCCTGAAACAGTCTGAAAAAGGAGAGAATTAACCCCTTTCTAATTTTCAATGTGTGCATTCATTAATTTACCTAATCAGCAACATTAAAACGAAATTAATCACTAAAGTCGGATAAAAACCCAGGATTCCCTGCAGTAAATCAGATTCAGATTACTTTATTTGCAGAAACATCTAGGTAAAAAGTCTGTTTTCATTTCTTTCTCTCAAAAGATGACTCTTGCTTTACATAAAGGATAAAGTCTGGAAGCTTTAATTACCTTTTTTTGGGAGGGGGACTGTTGGAACATGAGGGGAAAGTGCTGATCTAAAAAAAAAAAAAGAGCAGAAAGGCAGGCTCTGGTAGGTAAGTGGTGTTTTGGTAGAATGCTACAGCACTTTCATCACCATTCGCTACAATGACACGCATCATTTGGCTGCGAAGCTAAACGACATGCACAGCGTGCTTCCACCCCTTCTGGCTCAGGCGGCCTTTGTAATCTCCAAAATGTACAAATCTGGCTTTACTCATCTCATTCCTGATCTGCATATGTTTAATATTCTTTGAAATGAAGGAAAAAAATGTGGGGGGAAATGCCCCGAACAAACAAGCAGATCATCAAGCATAAATCCATGCCAACAGACTAAACTATGACTTAACCAGAAGGCTTAAATTAGCCTCAATGATCTTATCGTTTACCTTAGCACAGACAGATGACTGCAGAATAATTGGATGGATTGGATTTTTTTCTTTTTCTTAGTTTCAGGTGTTCAGAAACAGAAGTTGCAACTTTCTCCCACACTTTGCATTTAAACATTATTTTCTCTAACTCCTTCTTTAAGCCGTTGGCTTTTTGACAACTGTTTGTTTACTGTCTTTTGTATTGGTAATACTCACTTAAATAGCCATATTTATTTTACCGATACTAATCAAACAACACAATCGCACTGAACTTTCAAGACTATTCCAATAATTTGAAAAACACATTTCAGGTGTTTTCCAGTTTTAACCACGTTATAAATATTTGGAGTAAAACATATCTAATTTGAATATATCTTATCTTTTCATTGGAATAGAGAACACAAATAACTTTGGTTTACCCTTATTGCCTATTTAAACATGCATAGAAACCATCTTGGAAGTGGTTTTGTTGCAGCCGTTTAACACATGGTGAAACTCACACCCTGCCGTGACTTCAGTGCACCTTGCAGCTAGTGTTGTACCGATGCCATTTTTGGCCCCGATACCCGATACCTGGCTGTGCAGTATTGGCTGATACCGATACCATACCAATACCATCTGTTTGAAATTGATGTGTGTGTGTCTATATGAAGAACTGCATACTACTTCGATGTAAAATAATTGCAACCATTGCGTCAAGCTGCTGCCTACCTTTGTGAAGTATTGCCTACCTGGAAAGGGGGACAATAGATGAATAATACCATTCTAAAAATGGTATCGGTACTCGCCAATATTATTATTTTAGTGCAGTATCGGGGCCCTGCCCGATACTGGTATCGGTGCAACACTACTTACAACATGATTCATATTCATCAGCTTCCGCATGTTTTCATGGGATTCTACATTTTTTACCGACACAAAGTATTGCATAACCGATGAGCGTTGAGCTTTAAATTGATGCATTAACAAACATTAAAGCGGAATGCGTTTTAATTCAGCTCTCCTGAGTCACCATTTAGTAGAACCTACTTTCCTCGCAGCAACAGATGCAGATATCTTGGGATGCATCTCTACTATCTTTATGCATTTTTACAAACTAACATTTGTTCCCCTCCTTTTCTGCTTCATAGTTCCAGCTCTGTTACATTGGATCAGTCACATGTGTATTTTTGTGGTCTTACTACAGATGAATGGCTGAACTCTAAACTGGACTCACATTATTTTGCACTACCATTGTTTCTGAACTTTTATAATCCTTTGAAATAGGACACACTCAATGTTCTACTGCATTTTGCACCAAATTATTTTTGCACCTAACTGAATGTTTTCATATTAATATCCTTTTGTACCATTTTAAAAAATTGGTTTGGTTTTTTTCCTACATTGTTTACATCACTGCTGCACTTTATATTAGTAATGTTTGTCTGCTCCAACTGTAATATCAGACTGTTGCATGGCTGTATGCAACAAAACTTTGTTTACACTCTGTGCATAAAAAATGGCAATAAACTTTGTCTAAGTCTAAGATTTTGACGACTATTCCGAGGAATCACGCATTGATTCCCAGGTACTTCTATGATTCCCATGAATTTGTTCCTTACACCTTCTAATCGACTCTGACTAGCTGAAGAAAAGCATCCCCACAGCATGATGCTGCCAACGCTTTGTTTTGCCCTGAGGGTTTTGCGTTTCCAATGATGTAAAGAGTTAGTTTTCCGCCTCACGTAGTGTCAACTTGTAGAACAACAGTCAATTGTGACCTCATCTGCTCAGAGCACATACAATTTCAATTTGGCTTCTTTCCTGCCGCCTATCATTGAAGGCCAGATTAATAAAGGGCTTTATATTTATTCTGCGGACAGATTCCTCTAATCTGAGCTGTGGAGTCATTTTATGGTTACCATCAGCCTCTTGGCTGCTCCTCTGATAAATGCTCCTCTTTGTATGTCAGATAAGGTTTGGTAGGTTTGCCGTTGCACCATATTCTTCACAATTTCACCTGATTTACTAGATCAAATTACAGAACTGCTGATTTTTTATAGAAATTTAAAACTGGATGGTAGCACTGGAATTTATTTAGGGTCATGAGTGCAGAAAGAGGGTATAAAAGCACCAAACTTTTAAAATTTTTCTTAAGGAGAAAAACTTTGGAACCATTGCATCCTGATCTTCCAACTTCCCAGCTATGCACTATCCTTAAGACAATAAATCATGATAAAACTCATTGTGGCTGTGGCGTGACAATACATGGAAAAGGTCAACTGGTATGAATAGTTTTTGCAAAGCGCTGTAAGTAAAGGTAATTAGGAGGGATTATGGTGCAGAGAACCAGCGAACAGATGCCCTAAAGCAGGTCCGCACCTGGCAGAAGCTACTGTGCTTATTAGCCTGTTTACAGAGTAATCCCCCTCCTCATGCGTGGCTAATGTCAGCCTGACAGGGAGATAATGCACTGTGTGTTAGTGTTGGGACTGCGCCCCATCCTGTACTAATCTGGACTCTTTGATGTTGTGCAACTCAGGGAGCTGCAGGAGAGTAAAGCTGCCTGGAGCAGCAAGTTCCTCTTAAAGCTGGAGAAACTAAAAATCAAACGGCCAGAGATGATTGATTGATTGATTGATTGTTTTTTTCCCCTGACATGTTAAACATGTGAAATTCTGAAAAATCTGCATGTTTTCCTTTTTATTTCAAAACTAAGAAATCCCCTCATTTTTGATCAAGAAACTGATAAATCTACAGGATCTAATGAATATCCTGTATATTTTAGCAAATACTGTAACACCTTTAGGTTTAAAATAACTATTTAAGCAAAGCAGCAACAGCTCCTTTCTTTTCTCTTTTCTTTTCAATAGAAGAGGAATTTAAAAGAATACAATTTATGGAAACCTGCTGCTGACATTTAAGCTTCAAATGCTTGACAGGTGATTCACTGACTGTACAAGCCCCTCAAAGGTTATGGTTCTGAGAACTCCAGGGCGTGAGCTACCTAAACAAATCCAACAACTTTGTTTTCAGTTTAGCTCCAACTAAACTATACCTGATTTGCAGAAAAAAGAGGACCAACCGGCAAAGGTCTTTGAATGTGAAAAGCACAACCATAGATTTGCTTCAATGATCTGTGGGGTTTATTCATAAAATGCTGTGTGTCATTAATCATTCCAAAAAAACAAACAAACAAAAAACTTCCAAGTTTGAAGATGTTTTGCTTCCCATCCAGGAAGCTTTTTCAATTCAAAACTTGGAAACAAAGTCCAGCGGATTGTTTTTTTTTTACTTTATTTGGAATGAGTTTGAATCTTCTCCAGCATATGTGTATCATTAGAAAAAGAATGCAAGCAAATCAACTTTTCACTGAAAACAAACAAAAAAATAAAAAATTTATTTAACTACTAAAGCAAAAAAATTTATCAACAATATTACCTTCAAGTCAATATTACCTTTAAATACTTTTTTAAAAGTATTTAAAAAATCTAAATCAGACAGGGCCTAAAAATAAACTGATCTCTGCACTTATGCAAAAAAAAAAAATGCATGTTTCAGCAGTTTGATTAAGTAACATGGAAAAACATCCAGGTTAATGTTTGTCTTCACAGGAGCTCATTTACTGCGGCCTAGCTGTCCCGCCGTGCAAACATCCCATTAATTCAACTCTGATTGTTTCAATCCATGTAACCCCCCCTTCCATCCAAACTCAAACTACATAAGGGGGGAAAAACTCTCTCCTTCTCTGTTCTCACTTGCATTTTTCGCTGAACCCATGATACCACCCACAGCGTCAGCTCACTCCTTTATCTTGTTGACAACACAGAGTTAAAGCATCAACACACCGTGTGTGTGTGATCTACCTGCGGGTTGGGCTGGGACTCGGTAGCTCTCACCTCACTTGAGTGACTGCCAAGGAAAACAAAATTTGGAGCAGCTTACAAGCGCAGGATTGCCAAGGTATATGTCAAAAATAAGCAGGATAACTACCTGGAACCTCAACAAAGACCCCAGAGCGCGTTAATGGGAATAAAACACGCGCGATGCGCTTAAGTGTGAGCGCGCGCCTGTGTTTACATGTCAGAAAGTAAACTTTATGAAAACCAAATATGCATGTTTGGATATTTTATCATTGTTTTTATTCCAAAAATAAATAATTAAATGAAATAAAATAAAAGTGTGCGAAAAAAGTAAGGATTTCTAAGCGTACCGTTTAGGTGAGATCCGGACCCCTCGTCCTTCCAGCTGACACCACATTGATTATAAAGTCCTGTCCTCAGCAGCTCAACTGGTTTCTTGGAGGAAAAAAAAAATGAAAATAAAATAAACTCAAAAACAACTTTCACTGGGAACCATTGGATAAGAAATCAAACATTTCTTTCTTCTTTTATTACTCCGTGACATCGCATGCATGAAAAGAAACCCGGGAGCAAGAATAAAATAAGTAAAAGGAGCGCAGTTTTAAGAAACTAGAAGATTCCTCTCCTGCTCAGTGAGCGCTTCCACTGAAAGGAGAAAAAAAGCCATATAAAAAGTTTAAAAAGTGTAACCGAGGCCTGATATATTCCCATATGTTGGTCCTCCGTTTCTGAGAAAGAGTATTTCAGTTCAAATAGGTGAGCGAGTGGAGCTGGAAAGAAGTTCGCTTAATGTTTTATGGCTCCAAACTCCGCCTGAAACCTTAGCGTAGGTTAACAAACCCCCTTTCCTGTTCAGAAATGATTTCAATAAAAAACTGCAGAAGGAGGGTGGACGCGGGGCTTTTATTTTGAAGAGTAAGAAGGTACTTCCGGGGATAGCACACGCTAACTTGACCAAACCAAAATTTTTTTGGGGGGGGGGGTGCAGACACGAAGCCAGGCTTGCAAGTATGGGAGTGTACATTAAGCATTAAACAGAGCAGACAACACAATTTATGTAAACGTGGATATTTAAATACAAAAATTTGTATCAAATTTCCACCTTTAGGATCTTTTACTGTTTAATTTTAGTTTTTCTTCACCAAAGCGATTAAAAAATTGACAAACTCAGATTTTTTTTAAATCAAGTTTAAAAAGTTTTCTTTTCAATGTAAGGTTTCTATACATTTACCCAGATACCTCAATTAGAGGATTAAAGCTCTAGAATTGGGGTGTCTAATGAATGGTTTGGCCCCACAGCAAAGGTATTTGATACAGATTGATGGGTTTTTTTTATTTTTAATTAGGTTAAACTTGAGCAAAAATTTAAAGTTTTTTGACGAAGGAAGGTAATTTTAAGTTAACTAATAATTTATTGACCGATCAGGCTTTTGCAGTTGTAGCCCTAAACTCTGCACCAGCCTGTCACTTAAGTTCCAGTTAAAAATGTTTTAATTGTTTTTAATTCAAGCTCATTTTTGGTTAAATCAGGTCTTTCATTATGTGCTGTCTTCTTGTTAAGCTGTTATAAATTGCACTCCATTTTCTCCTCATTTACCATATTTTACTTTTACATTTTCTTAACTGATACATTTTACTCTTGTGAAGCACATTAGGCAAAATTCTTTCTTTTTAAAAGTGCTATATAAATAAAATTCGCAACGACATACTGATGACCAAACCTTTGTCTAGTAGGAACAGATCTATGCCATGCCTTTTACTCCAAAGTAGACTTTATTGCATTCAAATCTCCTTTTATGTTTCTTTTATTAAACCAGGGTGAATACAGCATGTGTTTGTTATGTAAAAACTGACTAACATCTTGTTCCTTTTGCTTAGAAAACCGAGTCCAAAAGAATGGAGTCTGTTTACGTTGTGGATATGTAGTGAAATAATCTGTAATGACTTTACCATCTATTTCAAACAAATCTGTGAAGATTGTTAAATTGAAATATTGCATGCTTAGATTTTGTTGAGCATGTTAAGCAGATTTAGGATACATTTCTTTGTGTTTTTTTTTTTTTTTTTGGCAGTATATTGGACATGGACACCTCTGCTGTGGATTCCTCGTTACTTGACAAGGCCGACCCCATTAACATCTTATTTGCAATCATACATATATGTTGCAAATTGCAGTATATATAGAATTTTTTAAAAAGGGATTGGGGTACAAGAAAACTAAGGGAACACACTGGAGCATATGTGTTAGCTTTAAGGAGGAGAATTGTTAATTAACACAATATAGGAAAGTCTCTGAGATCCATTTATAAAGATCTACATAATCCAAGATCACAATTTAGACAATAAAAAAAAAAAAAAAAAAAAAAAAAAAAAAAAAACAAGTTGTTTAGATCAACTTCAATTGTTCTAGAGGGATGAGCCAGCAGTCTACCTCAGATAATAGGATAAATTCTAATACCAGTATCTATGTTCACTATGGAGATGGTTGCCCATCACCAAGGAGACACCAAAAACAAAAAATGCTTAAAATTAGACATTTTTACATTTCACTGAAGTTCAGACCAAAATGAGGTCTTTAAACCTAACAACAAGCTCAATTCAGCTTGGATTGATTTAAGAAATAAAATAAACACTGAAAAAAAAAGAATCTAGAAATAAGTAAACATTTCTCAAATTAAGTGCATTTACCCTTAATTTGAGTAGGTAAATGATATGATGTGCCAATGAAATTGGTATTTTTACTCTTAAAATAAGATATTTAGATAAAATGCACTTGTAATAAGACAATGTAATTGTGTTTTATAATTTTAAATGTAAATTGTCTTGTTCCATTGGCAAAATGTGTCTTTTACCCTCTCAATTAAAAAACAAAGGTACTTATTTTTTAGAAATAATGACTTATCTAGATTTAGATTTTTCCCAGTGAATAATTAGAGATCAAGTATGTCCGTGTTTCAGTCAAGCACGGTGGTGGCAGCATCATGTTGAGGGGTTGTTTTCTTGCCCCAGGGTATTAGTACATTCCATAACCCGGGTGGAGTAGTGAAAATGGCGGCACTACCTTCAAATTCTTTCATTTCACAAATCAATCAGTAGGCAGTTAGAAAATGGACACGTTTGGGGCTTCCTGAACAATGGTCACAAACAAAACAGGCGAGCACTAAATTTATGAAAGGCCTTTCCAAATTCCAAGCTAGTAACAATTCAAAAATGTAGAATTGATACCATTATGTTGGTTATGTGTAAGGACAGACAAACATATATTATTTCAACAAATCCCTGGAATAGGGGCAGAGCAGTTGGTGGATTCACATAAATATTAACAGTTATGTGTGGAATACTGATTTGAATGTATTAAATTGCAATCATTTCTTAAATACATCTTGGATGTATGTAAACTTCTGACTGAAACTGTGATAAAAAAAAAAAGTATGACAATAAAGGCTTTTTATTTTATTTAAATTAAATGTTAGCAGGATTTTTTAAATGTTTTTTGCACTATTCCCCTTAAAACTTCAATAGAAAGCTGAGAAACACAACGACCACCGAAGCAGTCCTGGAATTCATCCAAGAACATTTAAATTTTATATGATCTTGTGTTGAAAAACTTATTTCAAACAAGTTGTAGCAAAACTTGAAGGCCTCTTTCATTAAGGTTCCCATCTGCAAGTGTAGGAAGCTGCAACATGATTCCTTTTGGCACAAGCAGACCTGAGGATGTAACCTTGATTTTGATGCCAAACTCCTGCCTGCGTGCAGATTGCTTCCTGATTGCTCCTGCCAGATTTTCGTAAGATCTGATGCTGGCTCCTTATTGCACTCTTGATCGCTATTCATTAGTTATTAAACTCATATGTATGTCTTAAAACTACAAAGATCCTTATTAAACCAGATGTAAAAACACTGTAGAGTGGTTTGTTTTTAATCTCCTGCATGTTATCAGGACTAGGACATGCTTTTCTCACAAATCTTTATTTGTGATTCTGATCAGATCAGTATTCCATGCATGTTTGTTTTTGTTTGTAGCCTAACAGATGTTAATACCCTAGCTATATACTTTTTTTTTTTAAATAGAACGACTTTGGCAGTTTTCTATAATAGGGTACATAAATATTCTAAAGAGAATAGTGTTGGCAGCATTATGCTGTGGGGCTTTTATAAAAATGAGGACTCCTACAATCAACAGATAAATGACAACAACAGACAGAGTTTGTTTTCAGAAATCCAGGGGAGGTGACCAAACAGCTGTTAAGCATGGTTGTGGCAGCATCATGCTATGGGTTGTTTTTATTTCGGCTATTGTTTTTTGTGCACTACAGTGAAGTGGGAATACCTTCAAATTATTCAACCTTGCTTAAGATTAAAGGTGAAACCAGGAGATAGGTGTTCCAACAGGACACCATCCCAAACAAACATCCAATTTGCTTCTTATGTGCTTTAGTAAGGGACATATTCATTTAGATCCAGGAATTGCTTGTTGTGTGTTTACCCCATAATGGAAATTTATCTAAACAACCACTGCAGCCAATTGGATCAGGCAGGAATATTCATCAGGAATGAACCAGATGGGTAAGTATAAAAACTTCTTGTTCCCTCAGAAGGTCCATGTACACTGCACCTGGTTCTGCAGGAGGTTTCTTCCGATTAAAGGCATTTATGCATGCCTGTATGCTCATTTGGAGTCCATTTGTGTGCAAATGTTGTTGTCCACTTTTATGAAAGGAACATATATAGATAAAGTCATTAAGACATTGTAAGTGACTGTCCACCATGGCTAAATTCTCATCCAGGAGGAGTAAATGCTAGCCTGACGTAGTCCGACTCAATTCTAGTCAGAATATGAGTCTGATACTGCTCCATAGAGCTGTGATTATGGGGCGTGTTTCGAACGAACCAGGAAAAAAAATGCCTCTGCACTCAATTGGATAGATCTACAACCAATAAGAGCAACAGAGTGCGTGACGTATGTTAAGCGAGGCATAGTTGTTGTCAACAAAAATCAAAGCATGCAGTTGCACGCCTAGAATAAGAAGATGAGACTTGATCACGTTTCTCTGTTCCTCTTTTAAAATTAATTTGCTGTCGACATCTTCTAGAACAGACCTAATAGCAGAATCTACTCACCTAAACTCTCCAGCGGCAGCCATTATTGTTGTCACCCAAGCGCGCTTTGGTCACGTGGTTGATTACGTTACTCTTGATCATCTGTCCATCATCGTATAAAGCCCGCCCTGACAATTTGATTGGATCGCCAGAGGGTGGGCGATCATACTCGCGCTACTATGGAGCAGAGCCAGACCGAACTTCCCGACCTCAAACTTTGTGGGCGGGACTAAGTTCGGAATGGCACCCAGGCTAAGTAAATGCTGCAAGTCAGTCACTTTATTGAATCTGGTTTTACTTAAGTAGAAAACTTTCAAACAAACCTTTTTGGATTTGATTAAACTGACTCTGTAATGAATGTTGGAATTTCCTTGGAATTGGTACTATATGAATAAACATCCAATGCAAAAGCAATCATACCTAAAGCAGGAACTTACTGCATAAAGTGCCGATCCAGCTCTAACAGAAACGTACATGAGGGGTGAGGTTTGCCTGTTTTCCCATGCAGAGAAAAATGTTACTGAGTAAGGTCATAAAGTGAGACTCTCAAGTCTCATTCCAGATGTCAGCAACAATGAAGATATTCTCTGGCATTAAGTCAGTTGGTTGTTAAACATTTTTTTTTGTCGGCACGTCAGGAAATGCAATACGTTGAAACAGATTTTTGGCGTACTGTCATACTG